TCAAATTCAAACTTTTTCTTGGCAAATACCTAATAATAAGTTCATTGTTTGGTAAATTACTAGATGCTCTATAATTATGTCGCTATTATAAATAAAACCTTCCTTACATTTAGTATATCTTAATGCTTAACTTTCTTTGTTTTAGAATTATTTGTTTATTCTTATTATTCAGTTTGACCAGAGAGCCAAAGAAAGAGTGAGAAAGAGAGTGAGAAAGCAAGCCTTCAGGTCCAGGACTCCAACTGCAGTCCACTCAGCAGGAGTCCAGCACCTTAACCAGCACACCGTTCATTTTCTAGTTAGTTACTGCAGTGTAGGACAACACTATTGTTTTTTTTTTCAATAGGGTGCATGCTCTCACCAGAGAGGCCGAGAGGGAGAGAGAGAGAAAGTGAGAAGAAAGCACCCCTCCACTGAGAAGTGGGAGATGGCCACTTCATAATCTCTTCTTCCCCCTTCTCCTCATAGGATCTGGGGCATGTATGCACACATGCCTGATGTGTTTTTCAAGCTATTGGGTCATGGACTCAGCCCATGCAGTTGGTCATGTGAGATTCAGTGCCTTAGCCACCGTGCCACCTGGCTGGCCTAAAAACAATTCATTTCTTCATTGACATTTTGTCCTGTTATTTGGACACTCTACTGGGACTCCAAATGACTCAGCGCTTGTTATCTCCTTCCATCAAAGAGTGGAAAGGAAGCCTACACTTCCCCAGCTCCCAGATGTGTGCCAGTAATTTAGTAGAGAAATTTGGGGATACCTTTTAGATTTGCCCAAATGAAGCTATTAAAAATAAAGAATAGGGACCAACAGCGTAATGGTTGCCCTGCTGGACTCCCACATAGTCGAGTGCAGTTCAAGTCCCGGACTTGGCAGCTTAAAACTCACACCAGGTGTGTGTGCATGCGTGTCCAAGATCCCAAGATCACTTTCTGTCTCTTTGTCTCTCTGGCAAGCACATGCTCTCCAGAGCAAAAATCTCACACACAAAAAAAAAAAAGAGAGAGAGAGAGAAAGAGAACAGAGGGGTCAGCAGGTGGCATGGTAGTTAAGGCACTGGACTCCCACATGGCCAACCGCAGTTCAAGTCCTGGATCTGGTGGCTTGCTTTCTCACTCTCTCTCTCTGTGGTGAGAGAGAAAAAAAAACAAAACCAATAATAAATAAAAATAAATAATAACAAATTAAATTAAATAGTAAATAAATCTTAAAGAAAAAAAAGAACAGAAAGTATTCCAAAGCAAGGACTGCAGACTCAAATACCTGCATAAAGGAATATGTGGTTTATATGGTTGCCCACAGAAAATGGTGAGACTGGGGCTCTATCTAAAAACAGAAGGCCCAGGCCTAGTGGTCAGGAATGCTGAGTCCCACATAGCTGACAACTCAGTTCAAATCCCAGCACTGATAGCTTGAAAAATACACTGAGTGCATGTACATGGATACCGAAATTCTGGACCAAACGGAGAGGTGGAGAGGAAGAGATTGTGGCTTCTCTGTTTAGAAGTGCTTTCTCCCTCCTTCTCTGTTTCTCTCTAGTCAGTGAGCACTCCCTCTGGAAAATAAAAATGTAAAAACTCAGCCTCACTTAATTCTTGTCATGTAGCAATGAAAGGTCAATTTTTACATCTTTATGCTTTTTAGGAAGAGCTTCAAACCCTCAATTTTTAAGATGTTGGCAGCTAATTCAAATTTTTAAAAATAATGGGTGAGCCAAGCACTAAAAAAAAAAAAAAAAAAAAAAATTACATCTATGCACTAGATTTGTTTTACAGTCTGAAACTCTCCAGACTAAGTGTGGTCTACATCCTATGGGATAAAAGGGCCCTAAGTGGAGGGGACCCTAGGAAAGTAACTGAGTATCACCTGTACACTCCACCCTCTCCTTCCCTTTCTTCTTCTCCCTCCCAATGTTGCCTTCACTATGCAGGGTTCTGTATGAGCCACCATGAACATCAGCCTTGTGGGAACTGAGTTTAGAACTTTAGGAGAGAGGAGAACGGTGAAAGCTTAAGAAGGTACGAGCTAGACTGGGACCTTGAGAGCTCCTCAGAGAGCAGAAGTCCAAGATGAGACAAGCATTGGCCATGACTCCAATATACACAAGCACCAGGTTAGCTGTGATGACCCAGCTGGCCTCTCCACATGGCCCTATGATCATGATAGTCCTAGCAGCTTACCTGGTTTGACTCTCGAGCCATGTGAACACTTTCTGGCCTCGTTAAGAGATAAGCCATGTTCTGATAACCATCTCAGGACAGGATGACTCTCATGAGTCCATGTTCTGGACCTGAACCAGCATCCCATGGAGTTTCACATAGTGTTAGGGGCTGAATGTGTCCTCCACTAAGTTTATATATTTAACTTTGAACTCCTCATACCTCAAAATGGGATTATCTTTGAAGATAGGGCCTTTAAAGAGATAACTAAGGTTAAGTGAGATCATATGCTTGGACTCCAACCCAACAGGACTGGTGTCCTTACCAGATAAAGAGGTTAGAGCCCAGACACACATTGAAGGAGACCACTGGAAGACGCCAGGGGAAGATGGCCCTCTTCAAGCCAAGTAGAGAAGACTCAGAAGAAACCAGCACTGCTGGTACTTCGACCTTGGACTTCCAGCCTTCAGAACTGTGAGGAAATACATTTCTGTTGTTTAAGCCACTCAGCAGGTAGTACTTTGTCTGGCGGCCTGAGCACACAAATTCCTCGGAAATTAAGGTACAGCATTTGGTGTGAAGGTTTATGGGAATCGGTGTTAGGAAATCTTATAAGAATGTGAGAAAAGCAGGATCGGGCAGAGTGGGAACTTGGATTATAGTGAGGTGGAGTTCTGGAGCTAGGAGGCCCTTCAGGGCTGTTCCAGATCGAGGAAAGAGACCTTCATTTTCTTACATCAGTCATTCTCAAGGTGAAGGGGCTGTGACTTAGCTCCCAAGGGAACATTCAGCAGTGTTCGGAGACATTCTTGGCCGTCACAACTGAAGGGTAGGCTGAGGGGGTAGTGGGCATTACAGATACCCAGGGGGTGAAGGCTGGGGATGCTGTTTAACATCTGGCAATGCACAACACGACCCTCGACAACAGCCAACCAATGGCTCAAGGTCACTGAGATTCCCTGCTGTCTGTGTCAATGAGCCATTTGCTGTACTTGGAGGGCACATTTGGGCAGATCCCAACGACTGAGGGCAGTCCCCAGTGAGGGGTGCGGCTGTGAGCCCTCAGCAGCCTGTGTGGCAGTCACTAGTGAACAGGCACATCCACTGTGAGTGAGGATGTAGACCAAGTGCACTATCCGGCCTCTTAGATTCCTCTCATAAAAATAGCAACCAAACCACAGCCAAGTCCCATGGGCCTTATGACATTATCTTGTTGAAGCTTCACGAACAGCCCATGAGGTGGATTTTATTACCCTTATTTATAGCTCAGGAGTGGAAGGCTCAGAGAGGGTTAATCACTCACCCAGGGTTACTGAGCTGACAGTTACGGAACCAGAAGTTGAATCCAGGACTTTCAAACTCCAAAGGGTGAGACTCTTTTGCAAACAGGAAGAACAACTTTTGTTAAAACAAGAGCAGCCTACATAGAAAAAAAAAACCAGAATGAATGTAAAGCCCAGCCTCAGAAGCGTAAGACACCTGCACCAATGTCTGATACTGGGCAAACATCACAGGGCCGGCCCCTGAGCTCAGGCTTCTTGGAGAGAGGCCTCTTGCCACCTACATTCACAAACTTTAATGGGTTACCAGAAATAATCCTGCTTCTCTGGGGGGACACTTTTTGCCTCCTTGAGCAGAATCCACGGACTTTAGGACTTCGGATGATGACAACAGTAACGAGGAAAAAAAAAAAAGTCACTTTCCAGCAGTCAACTGTATAAAAATAATTTTATTTACTACTGTAATTAAAGTAGTGCAAAGAGTAGTTTGGACCCACAATATTGCGTTACTGATTATGGACTACCTTAGCAGCATATAGGACACAGACATCTTGCTCTCCCTCTCCCTGTTCCACACGCACGCACACGCACACACCCCTACACAGACTCAGGCAGGCATAAGGGGTACGGATGAGACTAAGCTAAAGGCTTGTTTCTGCATATTCCACGGCTGCCAGTCTATTCTAATGGGGAATTTGTGGAGAAGACGACACTTAAATACTAAGAATTTTCTAAATGTTATTTTATGGATTGCAAGTGAAATGTAAAAGATACCCAACCATGTCATTCAATAATTTGGAAGCACAAGGACCCTAGAAAAGTTTAGGGAGAAAAATGTAAACCGATTCACGTAGCTATCACCCTCCCTGCATGTCCAGCCACAAACAATTGCCAAGTGCCTTACACTGCACCTTGGGAGTCCGAGAACACCTCTCAGTGAGTTTGGAAGAGCCGGGCTGTGGCAAACACAGGTTCCAAACTAGTACATCTTACAGAGAAGGTATAATTTTCTGCTCTCTGACAAAATGAAATGAACCAATGAAAGGACTAAGATTCTTCTTTTTTTTGGAGAGGTTTTTGCTATAGGGCACGTGCACTCGCCAGAAAGACAGACAAAGAGACAGAAAGTGAGAAATCACCCCCCGCCCAGGGGGGATGGCCACGCCACAATCCCTTCTCTTCCATTCTCCTCCTGGGATTTTGAGCACATGTGCACACTCGCCCGGCATAAGTTTAAGCCACTGGGTCCAGGGCTGGAACTGCGGTTGACTACATGGGAGTCTAGCGACATAGCCATTATGCCAATTGCTGGTCTCAAAAGGACAAAGATTCTTAAAACACATCTCAGTGTATAAGAATCCAGATATGCCAGAGGGCAAACTGACTCCCAGTACCACCGCTCGGGACGAAAGCCTGCAGTGACCAGTAAACCTCCCACCGGGCCCCTGTGATCCAGAGGTTCTGTGTTTATAACCGCTATCTGCTCTGCGTACTTCCTTGTTGTAATTTGATTTAAAAAAAAAAATAAAGAAAACAATGACACCAAGTGCAAAATTCGCATCCAGTTGACAAAACATGTAAAGTGTTTATCAGAGTAATGCCCTGGCCCCAGCTTTCCAACACGGCTGTTGAAAGGATTCCCTCTCCTCTGGAGAGACCTGGGGTGCACAGTTCACCCACGTGGCTCCGGGTTATTAGCGACCGTGGGCTGCTGGTCCTGGTCGGAGGCTTCTGCAGCTGGACTCACAGCTGGACTTGCAGTGAGAGCGGCGGGGCCTGGGGAGGCCCGGGCTGGTGATGGAGCGGAACCTCTGGCTGCAGAGACACAGACCGAACAGGTGCTGAACACGCCAAACGGTTTGTGCAAGACACACAACCACACCGAGCCTCTAGAAAGCCAGGGCAGATGCTTCTACACCTGTGGCCCCCACTCTCTAGATAGGCAATCTCAGACCCATTGGCCGGCTTCTTTGGACTTGGAGGTCCCCTTCTATAAAAAGGTGGGTTGGTGGGGCCAGCAGGTGGCATGGTAGTTAAAGTCTCTGGACTCCCACATGGCCTACTGTGGTTCAATGTTCGGACCTGGTGGCTTGAAACCCACGCCAGGCATGGGTGAGCGTGTGTCCACAATACCAGGAGGAGAATGGAGGAGGAGAAGGGATTGCAGCATGGCCATTCCCCCAGGGAGGTGATTTCTCACTTTCCCTCTCATTGTCTCTGTTTCTCTCTCTCTCTCTGGTGAATGCATGCACGCTAAGGCAAAAACCTCTACAAAAATACATAAATAAATAAATAAATAAATAAGAAAGTATCTATACCTTGTTGAATTATTAGAAGAAGGGTTAAATGAATTAGTGCATGTGAAGTGCTTAAAACAGCATCTGGCATTGAGAAACCCTCAACACGTGTTAGCGCCTGCTACTGGGGACCTGGTTTACTGTAGGAACGTGTTAAGATTTATTCGTTTCACATGCCCGGCTCACAGGACTGATAGGAGTCGGTGTACTTGACTCTGAGATACCTTCAGGTCTCTCTCGGGGCCCGGGAGCCTATGAACACAGCACAGACTCCAAAGGGGGAGACGAGGAAGCACACAGCTGTGACAGTTACCAGCTGGGTGACGTCGAGCGAGTTCCCTCATGTCTCTGAGCTAAGTCCCTTCATCTGTAACATGGAAGTGGCAACGTGTGCGACGTGCCCCAACGCCCATGCTGAAACGTACGCCCAGGGAGCCTCCGCCTGATGACAATCCGACTTCTGGATGAGACCTTCAGGAGGTCGGAATTTCCAGGAAATTCAGGAATGGGCCCCAGCCTCTGGCTGTTTTGGGGTGAGCAGGAACACTCCCTAAGGTCCTTTCCTGATACCTACAGAGGGTGTTGGGGGGTCTACAGGACGGTGGGGGGGGAAACCAGAATGTTGTATAAAGATGTCACATTTCTAGGGCCATTAAAGCCACCTCCAGGGCAGGGGATCTTGTGACTAGAGGCCCAGCCATAGGGTGCAAAGCCCATTCCGTTGCAGTCAGGTGACCCGGTCTGGGCAAGTCGTACGGCACTGCCATGAACCATAACAGGTGACCTCAGAATAGATGCCGCCGAATAGCCAACGTTTCTGTTCTAAAATGCTTCAGTTTCATGGGCCTTCGTTTCCTTGCCTGTGACCTGAGGGGCTTCGGGTACCTGATGTCCAAAGCCCCTTTGGCCCTAAGGTTTATCTTTCCAATGATCTCCGAGGAAGCTGATGAAGTACTAAGGTGTGTATTTTCAAGCTCAGGGGAAGCCTTCAAGCACCATGGTAACAAGATACGTTGGCAATCAGTTTCCTGATTAAAACCAAAACAGTGCCAATGCGTCCATGGAGAAGGAAAGCGGAATTAGAGCTGCCACCATTTACATCTTCTGCTAAGAGCATGCTAAAACCACCCGGTGTCTCCACAGTAGGTTTGTAATTATCTGTGCGAGAACAAGCCCTTCCCCAACAGGCTCCACAATCAACTGCAGAAGCCCCCCGCAGCCGTCCTCATTTCAAGTGGCCTCTCTGCCTCGGCTCACCTAGAACGCGCGCTCATTTTATCACAGGGCTGAAATCACGGTAACTCGGGAAATAAGCGTGCTGTTTAAGAAATGACAGCGTAGATTCCAGAGCCAGATAGAAGTGATTTGTGGATTACTGGCTGCCTAGGGGACCGGTTTCCACACATTAGTGAGTAATCAAGAGCTGGCCCGACTGCAGCCCCTGGGCCAGACCCAGCGGCTGCCTGCTTAGGACATGGCACGGGTGTGGGGATGGCTTTTCAGGTCCAAATGGCTGAAGAACCAAAAGAGCGAGAGTTTGCGACATGTGGGAAGTAGATGAAGAGTAAAACGGTGTGTCCGTAGTGAAGTGTCACCAGCAGCCCAGCCATGGAGGCTGCACCTGAGCTGCAATGTACCCGCAGCAGGGGGAGCCCCGATGTGTGTGAGGGGCACCACACCCTGTTGTGGGCCAGGGTAGAAGCAATGGACCCGTCAAGAGCAGGACAAATACAGGAGAGAAGGGGAGCACACCCCGAAATGGTAGAACGCCTTCCAAGATAAGGTTCAGGAGGGAAGCCCCTGCCAACATAGCTACGTCACTGGGGCCTCAGGATCCTGCAGGACCTGGCGCAGGCCTCGAGAGTCACTAAAACACTTCTTCTTTTGTTTGTTTTCCTTGTAAGGTGATTGCCATCGGACACATGGGCTAGCCAGAGAGAGGCAGTGAGAGGGAAAGTGAGAAATCACCCTCCAGGGGCCAGAGCCACACCCCAATCCCTTCTCCTCCATTCTCCTCCTGGGATTTTAGGCAAGCACCCACACACCCAGGGACTGGAACTCAAATCACAGTTGGCCATATGGGAGTCCAGCACCCCACTATACCCCTGCTGGGCCCCCTAAAATATTTCATATGAGCGGAGATCCGGATAGCGGGCCAAGGGTAAGGAGACAGGATGTGAGAACACCCTCACCACTGACTCACTCTGAGTTCAAGGCCATTGCTTTTCTGCGAATGCCACTTTGTGACATTTTACTCTCATTTTAGTAGAGACCTCATTAACTAGAGATGTAGAAGACCGGAAAAGAGTAGGAAAAGCTTTAATTAATCTTGTTCCGATCCTACTCTTCTAAAAAAGAAGTCTAGGCCAACCGCTTAGCCGGAACAGAGGAGGTGGCGTAAGCCGTGGGCATGGCGAGCAGGCTGGCCTTGGTTTATAAGGCGCCCAGTGATACCCGGGATCTGGTGGGTCTGTAGAAGCTGCTGTGAGCTGTGCTACGTAGACAGGCGGTTTACTACCATGCACGGCCGGGCTCTCCCTTCCAATGGGGATTTCTATCCTACTCTTCCCTCCCCAGCCAGCCGCCCTCCGTATGGATTCGGTTTTACTTTCTTTTGGTTTCGTTCAAGGGAAGTTTCTGTCAGACCAGAAGAGGAGATGGTTCTAGACTTACTAGACTTTTCTTTATTTTTTAGATTTTTGCCATAGGGCTCATGCACTGGCCAGGGATAGACCTACCTAGGGAAAGTGAGAATTCAGTCCCTAGGTGGGATATATATATATTTTTTTTTCAAACTCCTGATCCATTAAGGCAATTATACTTAGCATTCTTGACTGAGGAGGAGTGATTTTGAGATGCAAAACAAAACAAAACAAACAAACAAACCCTAGAAAGCAGCTTTTGGGAGGCTGGTCAAGTGTCTGTGGGTTGTACAGGCAGAGGGGCCCTCCCTGGCTCCAGCCATTTCAGAAAGGAAGATGCTGCAGAAAAAGGCTCAGGTGCTCAGGCCTGGCAAAGAGGACAGGGTTCCCATGTGACCAGAGCTGCAAAATCAGAGGACCTAAAGGGGGCGTGTAGACCCAGGGCCATGGACATTGTGCCAACAGAGCAGCAGCCGACTATGACCCTGCAGGACTATCAAAGCCCCTGCAACCTCTGCACTACCCTGGGAGGCATTAGCCCCAGGAAGGACTCAGCTGCCTTGGGCAATGTGAGTTAGGAGTCAAAACAAGTTCCCTTTAGGGAATAAAATCAATGAGCAATATTTTTGGGAACTATCTCAATATTTTTGATTGGTTATACAATGCTTTTTTTTAGATGCTTTAAAAGAGAGTTTTATATTTTAGAAAGCGTCTCACAGAGAGAGAAGCATGCTAGACACTGGTAATTGCATCTGCTCCTTCCTGAGGCAAATGGAACTGTTGGAGTGTAGGTTCTACCTAGGTCAGCTGATTGAAATGCAGGTAAATGCCCCAGGGGACATTACCCCTGGGCAGCTCACAATCCTGGAGGTCTAAGTAGTTTATGTCACGTGAGCTCATTTGACTCTCCCAACTACAACAGACAGTAGGTGTCCTAATCCGCTGTTTTCCAGAAGAGGAAGCTGAGGCAGAGATTGGCTCCCTGCCTTGCTGAGGTTGCACAGCTTGGGCCTGGGCTGGGATCGTAGCCTGACTCCCATGTGGGTGCCATTTGCACTACTGTCCTGCACTGCTAGCCTTCTGAGCGCAGGGCAACTTCAAATGGCCCATGCTGTGACATGCTGGCCGGATATCAGAGCATATAAACTCAGGGGGAGGATGAAGGTAGCTGGAGCTGAAGGCAAAGTATTAACAGATGGACAGCTCCACTGAAAGGCTTGACTATAAATCGCCAAGTTTAAAAAACAGCTGGCTGACAACACTTTTAGCATGTCCTCATCCTAGGCTGCTTACAGGAGGACCCTAATTCTTACATTCATTTTCTCCTTTACGTCATCAGTCAGCGCCCAGAGTCGGTTACCGTATTTGCCCGAATGTCATGGCTACTGCAAGCCCTGTTGTTCTGTCCCCCTTCCCACAGGGACATCATGGGCCAGACCTTGGGCACCAGCTCATCAGGAAGAGACCAGTGGAGACACTTTGGCCTCTCAGTAGCCCCTTGTAGCTTCTGCTCTCCACCTCTCATGTCCCTGTGGCCCTGCCCCATTGTCCCATCAGTCCCCCCTCCATGGCGCTAATGCAGGACTTCTTATTTCAAAAGTATTGACAAATTGGCACTTAAAATGAGGACTTTTAAAAACAAGGAAATAATGTCCTACCTCTTTTAGCTCTTAGCATTATTTCTAATGTGGTTGGCAGGCACCACAGTGGGGCACATTTTAGAAATGTATGGATATTGGGACCAGCAGGTGGCGTGGTGGTTAAGGTGCTGGACACTCCCACATGGCTAACTATGGTTCGAGTCCTGGGCCTAGTAAATTGTTTCCCACTTTCCCTCTCACTCTGTGTGTGTGTGTGTGTGTGTCTTTCTGTCTCTGGTCAAATTAAAAAAAAATGCATAAATAAAATTAAATAAATAATTCTTTTAAAAACATGCATGGATATTTCTTTTGACTCCTAGGCCTGCCTACGGAACGTGTGGTCTACAGAACAGCAGTGTAGGCATTAACTGGGAGTTTATTAGAATTGGATCACAATTGGTCTGGCCCCACCCAGACCTGCTGGATCAGAACCTGCATTTAATAAGACCTCTCTGTATTTGATGTTCACGTTAAATTTAAGAAGCACCGGGCTAGAATTTGCATACTGGAATCAGTGTTAAAATGAATTTCTTTAGATTTCTCCTTTAGGTTGCTATTAGGACCCTGTGTTGATTTTTAGGATAGGTGCTCATGAATTAAAGATGGAGAATATTAAAAGTATGTTACAAGGGAACCAGCAGTTAGCATAATGACCATGTCGCTGAACTCCCATGTAGTCAACTGTGGTTCGCATCCCGGACCCGGTGGCTTACGACTCACGCCGGGCGCATGTGCATGCGTGCCCAAGATCCCAAGAGGAGAATGGAGGAGAAGGGATTGCGGCGTGACCATCCCCCCTGGGGGGTGATTTCTTGCTTTCTGTCTCTATGTCTCTCTCTGTCTGTCTGGCGAGCAAATGCGCCCGATAGTGAAAACCTCTCCAAAAAAAAAAAAAGAGTATGTTACAAAACATTGCTTACGTGAGGGGGCAATGGGTTTGAGACATGACCAATGGCTATCTGAAAATACTGTGATTCTAAAAAAGATTCTGAAATTCCATTTTCCTACATCCCTTCTTGGCCTTAACTTTCTTTGGGCAGGCTCCATCACCTCTCCGGCCTCACTGTAGTGTCTGTAAAATGCAGGCCATGGAACTGAATGGTTTTTCAGCTCCTATCCAGATGGCGCCTCTTCTAGGTAAGCCAGGAGGGAAGGAGATAGGTGCTGGAGGAAGGAAATGTAAAAAGTTTGAAAACACAAAGAAAATGTGAAAGAGCCAAGGGGACATGGGAAGGGAGAAATCTGTCAAAGGACAGGAGGGACAGGGAGAGGAGAATGCGGAGGGAGTGATAATGAAGACATGAAGACAGGAAAGAGCCGACTAGCGATAAAAGCCGTTCTACCCGCCCATGAATTTTCATGGCTACCAGCTGGCATGAAATCATAAAGACAATTTTCAGCCCCTCTAACGGAATTGCATTTGTAATAATCATAACAATATTTCTACAGAGTCAAAATGACACAGATAATTTGAAATGGAAAACACTGACAAGATGCAAAATAGATGTGCTATATATACCTGGCCACAAATTTAGGGCCGGGACAAGATTTGCATGAGGGAGATTTATTAACTGGCAGACTACAGGGCATCAAACCTGGAAGGGTTTTTGATGGCTTCTTGTTAACCTCCTCGGGTAAATCAGAGGAAAATGATTCCATATGAGCCCCGCGGGAGGGTGACTCCCTCCTCACCTTGGCAGAGGTGAGGCACACTCCTTTCACTTTTCATTACCCACTACACTAGGAACGACTATGCAAACGCTCAGGCGCCATGTCCTGCCCTAATTTATCCATTTGTACGTGTCTCTCCTGGTCAGTGTGAGTTATCGTGTCCTTTTGGAGTCACTCAGGATGGTGGAATACTGTCGTTTTCCACAGAGAGACGTTTGTGGGGCTGGGCACCTCCTCAGGGTGAGTTGTCACAGAGGGCAGGACTGAGGCTTTCTCACTCAGCTTCTGGTGTAACGGGGGACTACACAAAGCAACTAACACTTCGTGAGGGTTTTACAGGCCAGATAAATGTCATAACTAATGCCTAACTGCAGCTGTCATTTTGGCAAGTGTCTCACGTGCATTTCTTTTTCACTTCACGGATTCTTTTTTCATTTCATGTCCGTGGGAAGTAGCCACTACCCGCACCTCACTTTATCAACGAGAAACAGGGGGATCAGCAAGGTTAAATAACTCCCCGTAAGTCAGGCAGGTAAGGAATGGCCAAGCCTGGACTTTAAGTCCAAAGTTAAGTTAATGGGGGGGCCCATCTCTTTAGCTACCACTTTCGAGTAGCTCAGGAAAATAACAGAGATCGGTGGAAACCACGCAAGACCAAGGGCTTGCCTTATATTCCTCCTGGTCCTTCCCTGTGATTCACTGGCTGAGAATTTTATTCACCACGAACATCTGATTACCCTCTTCCACATCTGATTACTTGATTGAATGGGAAAACTTGATGCTGGAGGGGACTTCGGAGCTGGGTTTTTAGGTATGCAGGTGCAGAATTTTGATAAAAGATATATTTTTAGAGGTTTTTGCCTTAGGGTGTGTGCAACCTAAGCGAGAAATCACCAACGGGGGGGGAGGGGGGGAAGAGGGCATGGTCACGCCGCAATCCCTTCTCCTCTATTCTCCTCCCGGGATTTTGGGCACACACGCACATGCACCCAGTGTGAGTTTAAGCTGCCAGGTCCGGGCCGTGAACCGTGGTTGACTATATGGGAGTCCTGTGACATAACCACTATGCCATCTACTGGTCCTGTTAAAAGTTGTATTTTCAATAGGAGATGATTTAGTCTATTTTTTAAAAGGTTGTTCATTTGTTTGAAATCCTTACTTTGAAAAACACAATAACGCTGTGGCCTCCTGCCAGCCGGGGATTAGGACACATCCCTGGGAAGTTCACCACCTTGTTAATGAATGTCCCAAAGAAAGGGAACAGCACACCTGAGGGTGTGAGGAGAGGCGTAATTTTTCTAGTAGACACAAAGAATCCTTCCTTTTTTTATATCACCTTGGGTTTTTATAAGCCTTTACCTGAGGCAGACTGGAAGTACTGCACAGTCCAGGCGATCCACAGGAATGGGAAGAGTTCCCAGGAAGTAGATCTGCAAACAACCAAAGCACATGGCAGTGAATGGCAAAGGGCAGCTACAGCAGGGCAGGGCTGGGAGACGACACCTACCAGGGCAGAGTGCAGGACAGCGCCCCAGAGAAGCCGCAGGTGAAGGTAGAGCCAGGCCAGGGAGCAGGGGCTGAAGGATTCCTCGTTACTGTGGTTCCAGCACCTGCAGACAAAGCCCAGGGCTCCTTAAGTGTCGGCCGGCTTTGGCGGCACGAGTCCTGCCTGGCATTTTCAGATGCTCAAACTACAGTCTTCGGCTTACAGAGCAAGGAGAACATTCGAGGTGAGAGAGACAAGGAAGGAAAACCATTCCTCAGTGGTGGAGGCCTGACCTGAAGTTCTAGGATCCGAACAGAAATTTTAGAAAGAGGTCAGGCCTGCCCTTCATTACAAGCCAGCAGGTTGGGACCAGAAGGTGGCGTGGTGGTTAAAGTTGCTGGATTCCCACGTGGCTAACCATGTGGTTCAAGTTCCGGACCTGGCAGCTTGCTTTCTCATTTTCCCTTTCTCTCTCTGTCTCTGTCTGATCAAATTAAAAAATAATAATAACAGACAGAATTATAGAAATAAATAAGTCTTTCTTTTTTTTTTTTTTTTGAAAAAAAAAAAAAAATTAAGGCAACAGATCAAGGAGGCCCCTGAAGTCCAAGGCCTGTAGTACAGTATTTCTGTCTGAAGGTCTGTCCAAAGTCCAAAGGCGGGAATGCCTTCCGATCTTTCAGAAAAGTACGGGCTAATCAGATGCGCGATTTTTTCCAGTCTCATGGAAAATACCAGTCAGCACTTGAACTTCAGATCAAGTGCATTCTATTAGGCCTCAGGCACCAGAAAAGCGAAATACATTGGGTCTGGCTGACTGTTCTCTAATAGAAGCCCTTTTATAACAATTGCCACTGCAAAATAAGAGTAAGACTGGCTTTAAATGCAAAGCAGACGCCATCCATGTGGGTCTCCCCCACGCCCAACGATTTCACAGAACGAGAAGGTCTCCAAACTCACCTTTCATACAGCTCCTGGAGAATGGAGATGTTGTTAGAATGGAGAGTAGGGTCAATTTCCAAGAAATCCAGAATATGGTTTGGGATAATAGCACCTTCCTCAATTAGCAAAGCCAGGTTAAAAAATCCCTGAAAACAAACCACAAACCCAACTCAAGTCTCTAATAAAAACCCCCACACACACCCTTCATCAGAATGTAAACTTTTACAACCTCTACTTTTTTTTTTCTTTTTTGCAGTCCCTAAAGCCAGATGGTTTTGTCATCTTCATTGATGAATTGTTTCCCTAAATATATGCATCTGAGAAATTTATTTGCAGGAGAACCTGGAGGCTTGCAGGGGGTGCTGTGTCCCATCTGCTCCGAAGCCAGTCAACCGGGAGAGCTGTCCTTCCCTGCTCATTCACTCAAAAAAGAACTTGCTGGAAAACGTGCCCTTGTATCGTCAACAAAGCCAGGATACTGAGGTGAAGGCAGTGCCCATCACTTACAGACCACCCTAGGTGGCCATCACCTGTCAGAAGTCTGACAGAATGGTTTTGTGACTGAGGGGCACCCATGACTGACATCCTAATGCAGAGTGTCTTCCTTACAGGCTGAAGGAAGTTCAGGTGCTTGGCTCAGCTTCCTGAGGCCAGTGTGAAAACCTCTTTCATGATTCCTGTGGGCACGGATGTCTACCTGTTCCCTCTACCCCTTGCTCCTGACCCTCAGAAGCAGGACTTGCCGTGTTTGGCCACGTGGATCTGATAAAATAACTTCGCAAAGGAACGGGACCGGAAGTGCTTCAGAGTTTTTTAGATTTTTAAAATATACATCTTGGGGATGTCTATTTTGTCTAAACACAAAATTCATTTATGTTTTATTTACATTTTAAACACATAGGCTGAAAGTGACTTTATGTAATATTTTTAAATAATTCTATGCATGGGCCAGCAGGTGGCATGGTGGTTAAGGGTGCTGGACTCTCACATAGCCAACCACAGTTTGGGTCCTGGACCTGGTGGCTTCCTTTGTCACTCCCCAACCCCCCACACTCTGTCCCTCTCAGGTCAAATTTAAAAACATAAATAAATAAATAAGACTAAGTAAAGCTAGTCTTTAAAAAAAATAATTGTGTGTATGAACAAGTGGAAAAGATCTATTGTGCTGAAGGGCTAGGAGGGTCTTTTCTCCCATGGGGGTTCTGGGTAACTTGTGGGCCTGCATTTTAATCATGACCCATCACATGAGGTCAGGTGTGGGAATTCCCACTTGTGGCATCATGCTGGTGCTCAAAAAGCTTTGAGGTTTTGAAGCATCTTGGAGTTTTAATTTTTGGTCTAGGGATGCTCAGCCTACATGAGCTGAAGGAAGGTGCACTTTCCATCATGAGCCGAGCACATGGCCAGATGGAAAACAAGCACAAGGTGAGGAGGTATGTGCTGTTAGGGCTTTATGGCGTACACTGGACTGTGGCCCTTCAAGCCATTCCTGGTCAAGGTTCTGTTTTGTTTTAGAGCTGGAGAGAGAGAGAGAGAGAGGGAGGGAGGGAGGGAGGGACAGTGTCCTCAGTAGGGTCTCAGCTGTATGGTCTTTCCCAGCTTCAGCTGGTACTTGACTATGGGTAAGCACAGGGTCGTTGCACTCAGGGAGGTCTCTGGACTTGAACCAGGAATCTTCCCATGGGAGACTGCTTCACAGGGCATTGTCTTCTACTGATGCCCCCGTGGTTATGTTTTAGTAACCTCTATCCTCCCTCTCATTGTGCCCTTCAGTTGCTACTGACAACAATCTAAATGAAAATCACTGTCTACCAGATCGTTCATGCCAGGACTCCCACAGCCATCCAATGTAGTAGTCAGATAAGAATGAGGGACCAGCAGACGGCGTGATGGTTATGTCACTGGACTCCCATGTAGTCAACTGTGATTCAAGTCCTAGACCCAGCAACTTGAAAAAACACTCATGCTGGGCTTGCGTGCATGTATTCCCAAGATCCCGAGAGGAGAAGGGAGGAGAAGGGATTGTAGCATGGCCATCCTCCCCTAGGGGGTGATTTCTCAATTTCTCACTTTCTGTCTCTTTGTCTGTCTCTGGCTCTCTGGTGAGTGCACACACCCTATAGCAAAAATCTCTCTCTAAAAAAATGTACTAATAAATGTTGAGGTATTAGAAGAAAAGAGTGACTATCAAATTTTAAAGTCTGATCAACAGCAAAATTAAAATAAATGGGAAAATATGCTAGGGAAATATTTATATGTAATGTACTAGCTTAAAGTTCATTATCTATTAGGCTAATGTATAAGAACTAATTTTCATTTGAATGTAAGATTATCAAAACTCCAAAAGATAAACAAAGAAAAAAGTAGGGAATACACACAAAAGGAAATATGAAGACTCAGTGATTACAAGTACATGTAGAAGTGTTCATCCTCATTTGTAATTAAATAAATGAAATTTAGGACAATTGGAATATCAGCTTCTATTTATTCAATTAGCAAAATGAAATCATGAAAACATCCAGTGCTGACTACATCTGTCATCTTCCTCCACTTAACCACTGCTCAGTGAGCTAGTAATTGGGAATATACTGTCGTGTAATCACAAAACCGTTTAGGCTGTTTGACTCAGTAATAGTAATGAAAAGATGGAAATATGAAAATGTTCATTGTAGCACTGGCTATAATTTTAACATAGTAGGAAACAACTTCCAAGTCTTTGCTGGTCAACCATAAATCCCTTGAAGGCAAGAATACTGTCTATCTTTTTTTTTTCTTCTATGAAGTTTATTATTTATTTATTCAATGAAGGAGAGACAGAGAACACCCCCAACAGGGTTGGACACCATGATCTACCCCAACCTCAGCCAGCTCCAGCTCATGGATTGTGTGTTCCTGGCACACTCTGGGAGGTCCCTGGGCATGGACCAAACCCTCCCACGTGGCTCAGCCCCACAGAGCTTTGTCATTACCACTGTGCCACCTCCTGGCCTCAGGCCTACTTTTCAGGGACAGGAGATACCCTCTAAGGGAGTTCGTTTCTACATAAAGTCCCTTCAGGAGCAGCTTCTACATCATTCCAGAGGAATTGCCAATAGAGTATGTTCCTTAAGTGTCCTCAGCATTGGGCACAGAGTTCTGCAGCCAACATCGCATTTAATCCTCACTGCTAGGAGGCAGATGAAATTGTTACCATGGGTGACATGAGACAGGAGACTCTGAGAGTCAGTGACCTGCCATGTACAAATACAAGGTGAGAGAGACATGGGATTTTAGCCCAAGTGCATGACCACACTGATGTAGGCCTTCCATTAAAAAAAGAGCCCACCGGGTAGTGCGGCTGGTAGCCAACTGCACTGCAGAGCTGGCAGCTATGTGGCTGACTGCAGGTTCAATTCCCCAGTCAGTTTGAAAACAAGGAGGGCGTGTGGGGGCATTGGGATGAGCTGGCAGGCTGCGGAAAGGGATCAGAGTGTGATAAGATCCTGTCGTGGATATTTCTCTCATTCTGTCTCTGTACATGCTCACACTCTCTTTATCATGAATAAAATACACTTTAAAATAAAAAGAGAAACTGAGTGGGGACGAGTTTTCTACTTTTGCTCTATGATCAGTTTCTGAAGCTCAGCACCAAACACTTGCGTGAGGAGACTTTAAAATGAAAAAAGTGGAATTCGAGTTTGAGTTTACATCTGGCTCCATGGGACAGAGGTAATACACTGCTCGAAAGAATCCGGATCCCACCTAGGGTGGGTTTCAACCACAGTTTGGAACCCCAGGCTGGTCAGCTGAAACTCACCAGGCCTGAGTGCCCGAGATCTCGTGGGACAGAGATTAGAGGAAGAGGATGACAGCATGACCTGACCATCAGAGAGGTCTTCCTCTCTCTCTCATTCTCATGTGCTTTACCATGAATGAAGAAAAACACTTTTTTTTCAATTACAAGTTTATTTTGGTGGGAAAAAAGAATCTCTTACTTGCCAGAGAGAGAGAGAGAGTGAGCGAGCACCACCTCATGAGGGGTGGTTATGCTGTAATCTCTTCTCCTTCTTTCCATCCTGTGGATTTGGGGCATGCACATGGGCCCAGCATGTTTTTCAAGCCACCAGGCTGGGATTTGAATTATGGTTGACCCACGGGACCCAATTCCCTTAAAGTCTGGAGCTGGCCCTTCCTCAAACTTTGTGAAGACTCTTTGTATGGAGAGTAATGATTAAATATTCTGATGGCCATCATAAAAGTGAGCCTCAGATCCTACAGAAGAATTCCATGATCGAATATAGGAGGAATGAAGGAAATAGAGAATCCTCACTAGCACACTACAGTAATACCTGTTACAGGCAAGATCTATCAAAATTCATGGGTAAAACTTTGAGAGGAAACAGGATATTTGAATAGTCTCAAACTATCTTCCCCAGATACCTATAGAGTAGAAAGGGTAAAACATTAACTTCATGGTGAAGAAACCCAATAGAAACCACCTTAACCAAGCAATTAATATTAACCTCACCACTAACAAGGCATCTTGATAGGTGTCCCTGATATGATATACTGAGAAGACATCATTTCTGTAGTACCCTTACCCAGAAAGCATACCCTCCAGCTACTCAAGAGAAAACAAGACAAATTCAACTCAAGGGACATTCTACAAAGTCCCCACACAGGGTTCTTCAAGTGGATCACAAAGACAGAAAAACTGAGGAAGTGTCATAGATTGGAGAAGACTAACACTAAATGCAGTGTGGGATCCTGAACTACATCCTGGAATAGGGCACAGTTATTAAAGGGGAAACTGCCATAAAACCAAATAAATCCTGAAGTATAGTTAATTACTTATTGCCTTGGTGTTAACTGCTTAGTTCCAATGGCATTTTGGTCATGCAGATGCTACCATTGGAGGAAGCCATCTGAAGGACATCTCTGGACTCTTTCTGCAACTTGTCCATTAATCTAAAATCATCTTTAAGAGTCATTAAGAGAAAATTCTTGTCACTGAAGTATTGGCCCAACCATATAAGGAAACCACTTCCTATGGTAGCCAGCCTTCTAATTTCTAGAATTTTAAAATTATTATTATTATTATTATTTTGGGGAGAGGTTTTTGCTATAAGGTGCATGCACTCACCAGAAAGACAGAGAGACACAGAGACAGAAAGTGAGAAATCACACCCCAGGAGGATGGCCATGCCGCAATCCCTTCTCCTCCATTTTCCTCTCAGGATCATGGGCACGCACGCACCCTTGCCTGGTGTGAGTTTAAAACACTGGGTCCGGGACTCAAACCGCTGTCGACTACATGGGAGTCCAGTGACAAAGCCATTATGCCAACTGCTGGTCCCTAATTTCTGGAATTTCTGCTTGGTGAATTAGTTTGATGGAAACTGGTAGAAATCCTTTTAAGTCTCTGTTGCTTTAGGCTCTGTTGCTTTACTTACCACCTGATTATTTGACCTTGAACAATCCATTAACTTGTCACATCTTGGTATCTTCAGCTATAAAAATGGGTATATAATCTCTGTCTTCCAGGGGTAGAGTGAGAATGAGGAGGGGGAATATAGTGGGTGTTCAGTAAAAGCTCTCCATTATGGCTAGTGACCTCAGACCTGTGAGACGTGTGTGAACATGGATGAATAACAACCTTGTCAACTGTGCAGGGCACCAGACAGAAAGGACGGTCAGCTCTCTCAGGCTCTCAAGCTCACACGTGGGCACCACGGGGAGCGAGTTCTGTTGTTGCTCCTTACCTGGGAGTCTCCATCCAGTGCCGCTTGGGCGTACATCTGCACAGACAACTCGAGGTCCTGGGACTGGTTTTGGTGGCCATAATAGTAAAGGTCCCCCATTTTCAAATACGCTGCACAAGAACAAGCACAGGGATCCATGTATCAAGTGGTTTTATTTTAGACAACACTGTAAGTTAGTGACTCATTAAAATGACTAAGACTTTTCCCTATTAGAATCTGAATATGGAGTATCTATGTATTTCCTTGTTGTGTCCAGAGGGGGGTAAAGACATTTTCTCTGAGCACCGCCATTTTTAGACACTCCTGCTTTGCCAGGGAGGTCTCCTGAATGGGTTGCAGTATGAAAATCTGTCTGCGAGCTTGGCCCAGTTGGCCAAGGTTGGTTTGGGTACTGGTACTTCATTTCAAATCAGAGCTGTCGAACGCCAAGTTTGATGTCTCTGTGGGCTTTCTTTACTTGATGTAGCCATGTGTTTTATTTTTCTTCTCAAGTAAAACTTTGGTTTCAGAGTATCTGAATCAGTCAATGTCCAATCAGAAAAACAGAATCCGTCTCAGATAACTCAGAGAGAGATTGTGTCATGGGAAGTGGTCACCAGGGCGTTGGAAGAGCTCAAGAGGCAAACAGAAAACAACAGGAGCCCAGAGACCAGCAATGAGGAAGTTACAAGACCTAGAGGCCCAGGGGGTGGCTGTGGTGTTACTGGGCCCCACAGCCTCACGGGGCGGAGGCCGAAGAGAATGGAGTTGCCGGGAAAAGCTGAGAACATGGCAGTGCAGCTACTGCCCGGGACATGGCCCACAGCAGAGAGAAGGGGAAATACTTGGGTTTCTGCCTCCTCCCACCCTGCTATCTGCCAGTACATCTCACTGACTGAGATAGGACCTGCGGTGCCTGGAAATTAATCTCCTGAGCAGAGCAGAGGACAAAAAGGCAAAACGAATGGCCCAAGGAGTCCCTCCTCCTTAGCTTCAAGGAGTGCTTGCACCCCCTGAGGCTGAGAGCAGAGTTCAGCCATGGTCTTAAGAGCAGAGGTTCGCACTTTTTCTCCTAATTGTTTAGGAACATGGCACTTTGCAAAGCTGTTAGATGTCCCCACTCACTGCTTCCCTGTAGCAGTTGCTTTTCTATACATACCAAATGAAGGAGCATCGATTTGGAACACAGAGAGATTATAATATCTCCAAACACAATTAACGCCCAAGTACTCCCTGGCCAGGTCCTAAGGGTAGAAGGGGAGAAAAAGTTAATTCATTAATATTTTGGCCAAGTGACGAATTCTGCCTCTGTAAAACCCGATTCGTTCCCCTCCACCTTAGAGCTTCTGCTCGAAGAAGAATACATTTACTCACTGGCCTCTCCTCGCAGATGTGCGCTAAATTTGTCTGTGACACTTCAATTCCAGTTTCTGCTGCTAAAACATAATACAGCAAAGCTTCGTGCCTAAAAATAGAGGATTAATAATAAATTTCGTAGAGTGGCTCTTACTAATATTCAGAGAGCTTTAGATTCACACAGAAGAGGGCACAAAATAGACAATTTTTTAAAAACCGCAAAATCATGAGTTTTTTTTTTTTATAAAAATAAATACTGTTGTTAAAAATACTTCCTGCATGGGTTTAGTTTCCCTTCTAGGCTGAACTCAGAGAAGGTTGTGGAGCTGGTTGATACAACAGCTACCTCTGCTGGCCACACGGTGTGCTGAGTCCTACGGGGACTCCATTTGCCGCCCATCCCTGAATCCTTCCATCCTGGCTTAGAGGAGTTAAATGCTCTTAAGAGGAAAAAAAAAATCCTGTACTTCAGAGTCTTCTGTTTTGTGAAAGGCTTCAGAGGCCTTCGGATTCTGAACAAGCTTAATGAAGGCTGAGCTTTTGTCGAGGGCCTTAGGAGTTTGGCAAAGGAGAGGCAGTTTGCAAGGCCCTGGATACCAAGGGCCAACATGCGTAGGAAGAGCAGAATGCATGCTGGCCATCCCTAGTCGCTGGATAACTGCAGAAGAGTGAGTGCCCCCTTCTCCTCTGGAAAGACTGGTGGAGGTTCCTAAGTGGAGTCATGGCGAGGACTTGGGGAAAAAGACCTGGCCCTTTATCTCTGCTAGTGTGGGGGGTGCAACTGGCGCCTGGCTCCAGAGGACTGGGGTGGGGGGTAACCCAATGGGGGAGGCGTTACAGGGCACTGACCATTTGGCCCTACACTCTCTCTCTGGCTATGTCGCTGGACTCCCATGTAATCAACCGCGGTTCAAGTCCCGGACCCGGTGGCTTAAACTTATGCCGGGCGCGTGTGCGTGTGTGCCCAAGAGCCTGGGAGGAGGAGAAGGGATTGCGGCATGGCCATTCCCCATGGGAGGAGACTTCTCGCTTTCTGTCTCTTTGTCTCTGTCTTTCTGGCGAATGCACATGCCCTATAGCAAAAAGCTCTAATAATAATTAAAAAAAAAGACAAAGGACAACGGGACATGGAGCTGGCAGCTACACATGTATGGGGAACGTGGGGAGGAACACAACACGACCGCAGCCTCTCCTTCCCTGACTGCGGCTGGGGTCCCAGGGCAGCCTCAGGCATGACATCATCTTCCATATTACGCCGACAGAGCCAAAGCCCTTTTCTCCCTCCCGTTCCTCTTTTAAACCATTCCATATAAATCTAGGAACACAGAGAAGCACCAGCTCATCAAACTGACACATGTCATTCGAAAATAACATCCAGAAGCAATTCACTCACACAAAAATGACAAAAAGGGGATGGACTGGGCACGTTGGTGGGTGATGTAGTTGTGTCATGGCAACACAGACAGTACCACAGAGTCACACGGTGGTGTGAGACAGCCACCGGCCCTCTACTTCCTCCTGAGCCCCTGGCACGCACGCACACACGCCCTGCGTGCTCAAGATCCCGAGAGGAGAATGGAGGAGGAGGGGTTGCGTCGTGGCCATTTCTGGGGGGTCATTTCTCACTTTCTGTCTCTCTGTCTCTGTCTGTCTGGCAAACGCATGCACCCTATAGCAAAAACCTCTCCAGGAAAAAAAAAAAAGTCATATATAAGCCAAACTAAATTCATTACTAGGAATATAGCAAAACTATAAATGCAGAGGCTGCGATAGTGCCAGCAATGTTCGTTTTCTTTTCCTTCCTTTCTTTCTTTCTTTTTATCTTTTTTGCTATAGGGCATCCGCATGTGTTGGAAAGAGACAGAGAAGAAGATAGAGTGAGAAATCGCTCTGCATGGGGATGGCCATGCCACAGTCCTTTCTTCTCCACTCTCCTCGGGATTTAGGGCACAAACATACATGCGCACATGGTTTGGTATTCAAGCCACTGTGTCTGGAACTCGAACCATGGTCAGTCAGGTGGGACTCCAGTGCCTTAACCACTATGCCACCTGCTGGCCCCTCCTCTCAGGCACATGCTCCTGGCATGCCTTTTAAGCCACCAGGTCCAGGACTCGAACTGCATAGTCAGCCTTGTGGGATCCAGTTCCTCAACCACCGAACCACCTGGCAGCCCCAATCTTCATTTTCTTGAGCAGGGTGGAAGGTTTATAGGTGCTCACTTTATTATTATATTTTGGAACTTACATGTATGTCACATATAATTTCATATGAACCTTCTACTACATGGTCAGAGGAGAAAACCCACTTCATGCCACATATCCAGTTCAAATGCTCCTTTTTGGGACTAGCAGTTGGCGTAATGGCTATGTCACTGGACTCCCATGTAGTTGACTGCTGTTCAAGTCCTGGACCCGGTGGCTTAAACTCATACCGGGTGCGTGTGCATGTGTGCCCAAGATCCTGAGAGGAGAACGGAGGAGAAGAGATTGCAGCATGGCCATCCCTGCTCGGGGGGTGATTTCTCACTTTCTGTCTCTCTTTCTCTCTGTCTGTCTGGCGAGTGCACATGCCCTATAGCAAAAACCTCTCCAAAAAGAAAAAAGAAAAGCAAGATGCTCCTTTTTCCTGGATTCCGAGCTAGCGCCCCCATCACGCTCTCCCTGCTCTTCGGTGTCACACACAGCTGTTTAGTGACCATCTTAGAAATGGGCTCCGACACATCAGCATGTTGTTACCCTCTCCAGAACCAACAATGACTCACCACTGTTCACAAACCGATCAATATATAACCCGTCACTCAAAATTCCGTAAAATCGCACTTCATTGGTTTCATTACTCATCGCTCTCACACCAAACTGAATGACGTAATCCTTTCTTGACCCACCCAGAACTCTCCTATCTCTGCGTCTGTTCCTGCCATCCCCTTCACCGTTGCTGCTGTTCCCTGCGTGGCTAATTGGAGATTCCGCCCATCCCTCAGGGCCGCACCACCTACTCCCTCCACCAGGAGGGCTGTCCTTAGCCTCTCAGGTTAGGAGGAGTCTTTTCCTCCTTAGAATCCCGCTGTCCTTAACATCCCGGTCATTTCCTCGAATTATGGTTGTTCCATCTGCTTGCTTATTCATCCAGTAGGTTCTGAGCATTCCCTAGGTGTCCCCATGTGCAAGGAACTCGAGACCAGTCATGGGATGACTGACAAGTTTAGAGTCAGCCTGGACCACGGGAGGGCAGGAAGGAGTGAGCGGTAAGGCAGAATTCCCAGGCCCAGGAGCAGTGAGTGCAGGGCTTAGAGGTCAGAGAGAAACTGCACGCACAGCCATGAGGCAGCGGGCCCCCCAAGCCCTACTGGGCACCCCCTGAAGCTCACACCAGGGTACTGTGCACTTCTGTGTGTTCCATAAACTTCACTGGACTGCTCAAAGCAAACAGTGCGGGACACACGTAAGTTCCCTCCCCCACTCCTTCTCCTCCCCCAAGTCCCCTGGGGTGGCCGAGTACTCGAAGAAAGAGAACAAGCCACCAACATCTTAATTCATCCAGCCAGTCACAGAAAAAAAAGCTAAGTTATTGACCAATGTTCTGTTTATGGGAAAAACAATTTCAAACACATTGGGTGTGTGTGTGCGGGGTGTTTACAGGAATGTTCTCTGCGATATCTCTACATATAAACACTTTGATATCTGAGCATTTAGTTCAACCCAAGAAAGAAGCTATAAGGAGTGGAGGGTGAGGGGTTGGAAACGTGAGAAATCGAGAATGAGTTAAAATCAAATTTGGGGGGACCAGCAGTTGGCGTAATGGCTATGTTGCTGGACTCCCATGTGGTTGACCACGGTTTGAGTCCGAGACCCAGTGGCTTAAACTCATGTTTGGCATGTGTGCGTGCATGCCCAAGATCCCAAGAGGAAAATGGAGGAGAAGGAATTGTGGTATGGCCATCCCCCCAGGGGGTGATTTCTCACTTTCTGTCTCTCTCTTGTTTTTCTGGCAAGCACACGTGCTCTATAACAAAAACCTCTTCAAAAAAAAAAAAATCAAATTTGGGATTAGTAGGAACTGCAGTTCACATGGGGAAGAAGATAAAACATCTCAGACATTGCAAGGTATACTTACCACTGGGAAACAGTAATACCATTAATTTTTTTTTCCTATTTTGCGAAGCGAATCCACAGATAATAAGCATTCACGGTATGATAATAATGAGCATTTGTTTTCAGTGCCTTTTCATTAGGCCCCTTTCTCCTGCACACTCTAATTGAAGATTCTCACTCACCAAAATGCTACCCATCGGTTGCGTGTGCAGCCATGGACCAAGTGAGCAAATGGCATTCTTCTGGACTTATATTTTAACTTTTAATTAAAGCTCAGATCGGAGTGTGATCGATATTAAGTCTGGTCTAATGTCTTTGAGGCAGTGGACTGAGGGGATATATACTAATTGGCATAGCCTTTTTAGTTACGACAAAATACTCAGATCTTTTGGGTGACAAACAGCCAAGAACGTGTGACCCAAAGGAAAACGAAGATGAGATACTAGAACTAGAACTGACCGACAAAACAAAACAAATAAAAGTCAGGCAGCATTTGGAGAGGTATCCCAAGATTGGGGATGCACAACAAATACAGGACATCCGTAAGTCCTGCTACATGGCGTCTATCCCATACAGGGGAGGAGGCGATTTCCTAGCTCCAGGAGAATGTTAGGAAGGGGCAGGGGACACCTGCTTGGTTGTGACACTGAACATTGGGGGCTTCCAGTAACCCCAGGCTTCTGCTCATAGCAGCTCCAGTAAAATGTGTGTGGAAGGAGCTACCCCGAGCCTCTAACACCCTCATCTCTCTTCCTCTTGTAAACAAGGCGGGAATCCTGGACTATTCTGCAGCCTGGCAGCAAGAGACAGATGGTCTTTAAGACCCCTGCACTGTTTCTAGACTCGAAACCAAGAGGAAGAGGCTGGAAAGAAAGAGAAGTCAAGGGATTTGTGTGTCTCTCAACTTGACACTCCCCCTAGAGAATTATGGACACTCTCCCTAGAGAATTAATTTTTGTGTGTAATTAAACATGGAAATGCTGTGTTTTCCAATCAACAATCAGTTCATGACAGTCTGAATATCATTTCCAGGAGGCTAAGATTTCCCTGCAAATTGCCTTTTCAGTTACATTTTAAGACCCCATCTCATTAGCCTACACTGGCAGATTGACAGTTAAGGGCTAAGAAAGTTCACACCAGCCTGTGTGGCAAGCTTACCATGAGCCTTCCAGGTAGGCGTTGAGGCCTTTGCGAATGACGTGGCCCAAGTAGCCATTTTTCTCCGCTACATGCTTTGCCCATCTGAAAGGGAAAGGAAAGAGACAATATACACACTGTGGCAAATTAAATAATCACATTTTCCTTGATATGTTCTCAATAAATCCCACTTGGGGAATATTTTGCTCGTTAGGATTTTTATAGAGCAACACACTGGAACTGCATGTTAAAAAGATAAAGAAAATGCATTCGATAGCTCTTCATTCAGCAGTATTTCTTACGCAGACTTAGGAATTGTCTTTTACAGAACAAAGATGTATAAGGTACGTAATAAAAAAATCTCCACCAACGTGGAAACATAAGATCTCCACCAAAGGTTCTAGTACTCTCTCCATTAAAATATGTTTACTGATTTACTGTAAGGTTTTCCCTATTTTGTTTTTGTCCCTTAGTTTATTGTAGAGGAATTTATTAATCCTGAATTCGTATATTTTTAAGAAGACATTGAATTTATTGAGCGTTTTGGGTATTTTGATAAATCATCACTATATTACAACTGAGCCTTTAATCTTGAAGCTCCATCAACATCAACAGGTTCATTTTCTTTGTAAGAATTATTTTATTTAACTTTACTTATTTATTTTAATTTGCCCAGAGACAGATACAGTGAGAGAGAGAGAGAGAAAGCAAGCCGCCAAGTCTGAGACTTGAACCACAGTCAGCCATGTGGGAATCCAGTGCACTCAATAATGGAAGAATAAGTAAATCCAGAAAACATGAATATTCATACCCAATGATATTCATTCCAATATCCATACTAAACAGTAACGATAAAAAGTTTCAAGTCAGTCTAAATCAAGTTTTATCACTCAGTTCAGAGCAGGTCAAATTTGATCCCACATGTCTTATGAAACGTAACTTTTCAAAAAGCCAGGCTGCAGGAGACCAGCAGTTGGTGCAATGGCTATGTCGCTGGACTCCCATGTAGTCAACTGTGGTTCAAGTCCCGGACCCAGTGGTTAAAACTCATGCTGGGCACGTGTGCATGTATGCCCAAGATCCCAAGAGGAAAATGGAGAAGGGGTTGCGGCATGGCCATCCCCCCAGGGGGTGACTTCTCATTTTCTGTCTCTGTCTTTCTGGCGAGCGCACGCACCCTATAGCAAAAACCTCTCCAAAAAAGAAAAAAAAAGAAAAGCCAGGCTGCAGGTGTAAGGGTAGACTGGTGCAGAGGTCAGCAGATGGCTTTTCTGTACAGTGAAGACAGTAAATACTTGATGCTTTGCAGACCACGCATGCTCCCTGTTCCATAGTCTTCTTCCTAGGTTGTTTTGTAATTCTTTAAAAATGTGAAAAGCATTTTTAGCCCTTGGAGCCGCAAAGAGCAGGCACCTGGCCACGTTTCATCTGCCGGCCCCTGCCTGCGTCTCCAAGGATGTCACCAATAAGCTTAAATGGACAGAGTACCTGGGAGGTGACAAAGTGAGAAAGACCTCTACCTCCTCCTTCATAATGGACCATCACTAGATGATGCCTCTGCTGTAAACACCGAGAAACAATGGTATAAACATGTCCTTTAGAGAAAGGCAAAAACAAAAACAACAAAAACGAGGGAAAGTGACTTGTTCTAGAAACCAAGAACTACAGGGGGCTTCAAAAAAGGTCATGAAAAATGTATAGTAAGAAAAAACTGTGCACAGATCTCCAAGTTACTTTTACATCAAAATAAACACATACTTTAATTTCACTTTTTCATGAACTTTTTGAAGTCCCCTTAAGAAGTATAGGAAAGGTAAGGAGGAATGGATGGGGATTTCCTGCTTTTCTTTAAAAAAAAAAAACATATATATATATATATACTATAATATAAATATAATATATATATTATTCATGATACATGCATACACACATGAGAGAGACAGAGAGATAAAGAGAGAGAGAGAATAGAGTGCCCTCCACAGGGTCTGGCCACACTGCTGTCTATTCCCTTCCTCCAGACCTCCAGCCCATTGGATTCTGGGTCCTTTCATGTGTGCCAGGTGTGTTCCGGGCAGACAGACCCCGGGATCTGAACCACAACCACCATATGGGATCCAGCTTCTGTCGAGCTGTGCATTACTGCTGTGCCACAGGGATGCCCCCTCCCCCCTATTTTTCTGTGTCAAATTATTTTTATTGAAAAAAGTTAAAATTTGTAGCCGATCAAATTATTGGCTCTTTCAACTGCATGCATGTCCAACTGATATAAATACAAATTCCACTTAAAAAACTGAAAAGAAGAGAGAGGAAAAGGAGCTCCGTTTTCTCGGGCTCAGTGAGTAGTCGTGGCTGTGACTCTCTCTCCGGACATGATATTGGGCGGATTCTTACACGACGGCTTTCTCCGGGTCTCTGGGGAACGTCTCCAGGTTGCCCGTGATGTAGTAGAGGGAGCACCAGAGGGTCCCCTCGATGTGTCCACCTTGTGCGGCCTTGTGAAAATACTCCCCAGCTAACGTCTGTAAGGAGAGATGAACACGTCGCTTGTGTTAGTGAAGAGCCCTTCTGGCTGGGCGGTTCCCTGGAGCCCCAGGGGTGAGAGGTCGGAAGCCTGCAGCCTCATTGTGGGTTTATTATAACTTCTGTACCTTTAAGGAAACCAGGTCAGGGGACAGCTCCAGGAAGACAGTGCATCACAGAAGCCGCTTCAGGGACGTAGGACCTCACCCCAGCTATTCTGTGGATTGCCTGTGCCCCACAAATAAGACCACGTGTTACCCCTGCAAGCTACTGATAGAAGACTACAGCAGAAGGCGCACCAGGGGAAAATGCGCTGGCCCGCCTAACCTTGCTTAATACCTTCCTTCAAAGTCACATGCAAAAACTGCCTTTCCAGTAGGAAGGTGCGAATTAGAAATATAACAATAAAAGCGCAGGAGCAGGTGTGTGGGAGGGTTACCAGACATGTGCAATGCATAAGAATATACAGCTTCGTATGTCATCGCAGCGAGGTGGAGGGGGAAATGAAACAGACAGATGGGCCTATGTTCACCAATTACTATTATTTTTTGGAGGCATTTAACTATTGTTTTTAAAAGCATGGCTCTGGCAGTCCGACAGGCTTGGGTTCTAATTCCAGCTCTGTGCTCTGCTGGCTGCGTGGCCTGGGGCGTGTCAGTTAACCTCTCCACACCTCATTTTCTTCCACTGGAAAAATGAGGTTTCCGACTGTCCCTGACGTGAAAGGGTGTTGTGAGGATTAAATGAGATAACATACTTTCAAGGTCTAGAGTTGGGCTTGACAGCAATATTCACAGTAATATTCCCACCTTCGCTGCTCCCAAATTGAGACTGCCAGCCACAGTCTTGCCCCTCTCGTTAAATGTCACCTCTATCCTTTCATGTCAAAAAGTGTCACCCTAGCTGGAGTCTTCCCTGACTCCTCCCACCTCTCACCCCACGTCTACTTCATCCAACATGACCTGGTCTTGTCTACTCCCCCCTACCCTCACTCGGACCCAAGGCATTACTCTGGTCCTGCTGTCTCCTCAGTCCTACTTTCCATTGTGATCTGGGAGGAGTTCATTTTTCTCTTCTCCTCCAGTCTCCTTGGGATTTGGGGCATGCACGCACACACACCTTGAGTGATTGTCAAGCTGCTGGATCTGGGATTTGAACTGTGAAGTCAGCCATGTGAGATGTAACTCTTAACCTCTACACCATCTGCTGATCTTGGCAGAAGCCTTTTAAAATACTGCCCGGGCTGAGGCTGGCCAGCAGGTGCCCGTCTTCCTCAGAGCAAAGGCTGTATCTCACACTGACCCACCCCGCGACTTCCCCAGCCTCCCTCCACCCTCGCATGTCCCCGGCCTCCCTGTTGTTCCCCTAGCCTACCGAGCCTGTGTCACATCCAGGGACCTTTGTCTGATATGTTATTCTCCCTGAGAGCCAAAAGGCTCCTTGAGCAGTCTACACAATGCCACTTCTCAGAGAGGCCGTCCCTTGTCTCCCTCATAAAACAGCCTGCCCGCGTCCTTCCCTGTCCTCCGCATCCTGTTTTACTTCTCCCCATACCACTTATCTCCACCTACATTCTGTGTTTATCTGTCTGCACTCCCTCTCCGTCACTGAAACGTGAACTCCCTAAGGACAGGGACTGTGCTGTCTCCTGCTGATGTCCCCAGGGTCCAGGAGAGAGGTGGGCACGGCTGGGTGCTTGAAGTCTCACAGAATGTAACAGGGCTTGGGTGGTTATTCCCCCCATTAGTATCATTCATAGTGAAAAGGCCTTCCGCTCCACCCCGGAGTCCAGGCCCTGGCTCCAGGAAAGCCGACTGTAGGTTACTAAACCCCGCAGAGGCTCAGTCACCTATTCTGTAAAATGGACCTAGGCACAGTCATTATTTCAGAGAGCGGTTGGTCCGCACGGTGGACAGCTTTGCACAGAAGTGCTTGATCAAGCACTTGAGGTCGCCATTGCTGTTTTCCTAATCGCTAAATCTGGTCTCACACCAGGCAACGGATCTGACTGCAGCTCCTTTTGCTTTTAGTAAGACCAGTCTCGGCACCATCCCTCTTTTTCTCCCTTCTGCTGTCTTCCCTTCTCCCCTCAGTTTAAGCCTTCCTCCTCCGTGAAGCCTTCCTGACTGCTTTGGGTATATCACCATTTCCCTCTCCAGACCTGTTTGGGTCATGCTGTTTACTGCACACGTGGCACTGGGCTAAATGCTGTCCCCTCTGCCTCACTATCTTGTCACCTTGAGCGCCTTGAGGACACGGTGTGAGTCTCCGTGTCTACCTCCCAGCATGCTTTGTCCAGGCTGGGCACGCAGTACACCTTCTCCAAGTGCTTCGTGACTGAGCACTGACCCCTCCCCACCCCAGGGCTGGTCTCAAGCCTTACTCACTTGATTTCTTCCAGGAACGCCTGGGAAAATGCCGTCCAAATACAGGACGCCGAGATTGTACGACGCGTCCGGGTTCCCCATCTCCTCTGCTCTTAGCCAGTACTCGGCGGCTCTGGCGTAGTTTTTCTTGAACTTGTGGTAATACCATCCCAGGCCGTTGACTGCCTGATGCAATCCCTGCATTTTAGAACAAAACAGAAATTACTTTTTTTTTTTTTTAAATGCTCTCTAAAGAGATCTGGCGGCAATTATTGAGAAACATTCCGAGTCTGAACAAAACCTTCCCTTTCTCTTTTTTGGGGCAGATGGCATTAAAGAAAGGCGAAGTGCTAGAAAACACAAGCCCACGTCAGAGCTTTCCCAGGTGGGCTGCACCCCGCGGCTGCCGGGATTGCTGGCCCCAATCATCCCTCGGCTTCTGTGGGTGCTTATGCAACACCCTCGTCTACCAAGGCCTCTCGTCGCCCTGCAGAATCAACATTTCCTTTTTAAGAGAGATTTTTGCTATAGAGTGTGTGCTTTCACCAGACAGACAGAGAGAGAGACAGAGAGACAGAAAGTGAGAAATCACCCCCCAGGGGGGATGGCCACCCCACAATCCCTTCTCCTCCATTCTCCTCTCGGGATCTTGGGCACGCACGCACACGCGCCCAGCATGAGTTTAAGCCACCGGGTCCGGGACGCGAACCGCGGTCGACTACGTGGGAGTCCAGCGACATAACCATCCCCAGTTCTGACAGGGGTGTCACAGCCTGGCAGGGCAGAAGCAGATCAGGACAGTGGAGATGAGGGGTTAGAGTTGTGTCCAGCTCTGAGCTGATCCCAGGGAAGGGCCCGTTCATCTCACACTAAGCTCGAGTTTCTTTGATGCTGACTCCCTCCCATCACACGCTGATTTCCGCTTCGTTGTCCTGATCTCGGACCTGCTGGCAGGGACACCTGGTTGTTGAAAGCCCAGGAGCTCTGCAGGGTCTTAGCATTGCTGAAAGCTCTCGTCTCTGTCTCATTACTTGATACTCTTCCTCATTCTGGGCATTCATGCGGCTGGATCAACAGACTGGCCTCTGTGGAGCTAATTCCCAAATCAAGCCACAGTGCCTCACAGTAGGGGTTTGCTTAGTAACTCCTCTTTGTGAATGAATGAGTGAGGTCACGTCACGCTTTAAAGGACGAGACTTCCCCAGGCCAGAACATGACAATTCCCTACCACAAACCCACTGGTGCTAGAAAGCCGTTCACATTAGAGCCCATAGGACATCAGTCCATCAGTCCTCCACTAGGATGGCTCACGGGGCGTGAATTTCACTGCATTTGAGGGTGAACTGGAAGCAATGCCCTTGATGGCCACCATGAAGATTCTCTTCTTTTCTTTTTTCTTTTCTTTCCTCTTCTCTTTTCTTTTTTTTTTCTCTTCTCTTCTCTCTTTTCTCCTTTCCTTTCCTTTCTTTCCTTTTCTTCTTTTTTCTTTTCTTCTTTCCTTTCCTTTCCTCTTCTCTTCTCTTCTTTTTTCCTTAACTTAATTTTTTTCATAAGAGGCATCCCCCTCAACAGGGCCCTCACGTCATGATTGACCCCCCAGTCTCAGCCAGTCACGATTATGGGCAAGTGACAGGCACGGTCAGGGAAATCCCAGGAAGAGAACCCAAGACCTCTCCTATGCAGGTCCAGTGTATTTCTGCCGAGCCACCGCCTGGCCCCACACAGCCCTTCTCCTTCTGCCCTACCCCAATTTGTGTCAGAGCAGGTGAGCACACAGGGGGTTCCTGAGTCACATCCCCCTGCCAACTCATGGACGGAGGAAAAGCCTCTTGGGTCTCTGACTCCTGCTCCACCTGACAAGACTCGAACCCCTCAAAGGAAGAGAGTGAGGAAGACACGTGAGTGAGAAAGCACCTTCGCTCCGGAATTCTCCACTGATCAGACAAATATCAGCAGCCTTGGGGGCAGACATGCCCAGATCCAAAAGGGCAGTAAAGTGCCCAGTCCAGGTGTAGAATTAGAGTGGTCTCTATCAGTCTATTACCTTACACATTGGTATCCGTGTAGGTATGAGTGTGCACGTGTGGGCGTGCATGCCTGGGGCGTGTGCATGTGTGAGCGTGCACCGTAAGCGAGACTGCACCCTCCCTTCTGCAGTGTTATATATGGAAACCAGCGGACTTGAAGATCCCATTGAAGTGTAAATAGTGACAAAAGCAGACTAATGTGTAAACCTAGCAATGAGCTTGATGGAACAGCCCCGTTATCAAAGCCCAAGACGTAAATAGGAATTGGACATGACAGGGTTAAGCTTCAAAGGAATTGGGCTTTTGGTTCCCCTGAGTCAATGGCATTTGTCCCCACTCAATTTCAAGGAGCCCCTGCTGTCTGTTATCAGGGCAGCTTGTGATTATAATTCCCACCTTCAAACAAAATCAGCCTGAATTCTACTGACTGGAAGGTGAATGCTGCTTTTGAATGGTGCTGTCCCTGCCACGGCAAGGTTCTGTAGGTGCTGTAACTCGAAAATGACTAATCACTAGATGCGGGTGTCCCTCCCCACCCCATTCCCGCCCTGGGCCTGCTAGGGACAGGCCGGCCACTTCCTTTCAGACTTGCAGCATGGGGTGGTGGGGTGCTGGGGGGCTCTTTCCCGAGCTTAGTAACTCCTCTTTGTGAATGAATGAGTGAGGTCACGTCACGCTTTAAAGGACGAGACTTCCCCAGGCCAGAACATGACAATTCCCTACCACAAACCCACTGGTGCTAGAAAGCCGTTCACATTAGAGCCCATAGCACATCAGTCCATCAGTCCTCCACTAGGATGGCTCACGGGGCGTGAATTTCACTGCATTTGAGGGTGAACTGGAAGCAATGCCCTTGATGGCCACCATGAAGATTCTCTTCTTTTCTTTTTTCTTTTCTTTCCTCTTCTCTTATCTTTTTTTTTTCTCTTCTCTTCTCTCTTTTCTCCTTTCCTTTCCTTTCTTTCCTTTTCTTCTTTTTTCTTTTCTTCTTTCCTTTCCTCTCTTTTCTCCTTTCCTTTCCTTCCTTTTCTTTTTTTTTTTTTTCTTTTTTTCTTTCCTTTCCTCTTCTCTTCTCTTCTTTTTTCCTTAACTTAATTTTTTTCATAAGAGGCATCCCCCTCAACAGGGCCCTCACGTCATGATTGACCCCCCAGTCTCAGCCAGTCACGATTATGGGCAAGTGACAGGCACGGTCAGGGAAATCCCAGGAAGAGAACCCAAGACCTCTCCTATGCAGGTCCAGTGTATTTCTGCCGAGCCACCGCCTGGCCCCACACAGCCCTTCTCCTTCTGCCCTACCCCAATTTGTGTCAGAGCAGGTGAGCACACAGGGGGTTCCTGAGTCACATCCCCCTGCCAACTCATGGACGGAGGAAAAGCCTCTTGGGTCTCTGACTCCTGCTCCACCTGACAAGACTCGAACCCCTCAAAGGAAGAGAGTGAGGAAGACACGTGAGTGAGAAAGCACCTTCGCTCCGGAATTCTCCACTGATCAGACAAATATCAGCAGCCTTGGGGGCAGACATGCCCAGATCCAAAAGGGCAGTAAAGTGCCCAGTCCAGGTGTAGAATTAGAGTGGTCTCTATCAGTCTATTACCTTACACATTGGTATCCGTGTAGGTATGAGTGTGCACGTGTGGGCGTGCATGCCTGGGGCGTGTGCATGTGTGAGCGTGCACCGTAAGCGAGACTGCACCCTCCCTTCTGCAGTGTTATATATGGAAACCAGCGGACTTGAAGATCCCATTGAAGTGTAAATAGTGACAAAAGCAGACTAATGTGTAAACCTAGCAATGAGCTTGATGGAACAGCCCCGTTATCAAAGCCCAAGACGTAAATAGGAATTGGACATGACAGGGTTAAGCTTCAAAGGAATTGGGCTTTTGGTTCCCCTGAGTCAATGGCATTTGTCCCCACTCAATTTCAAGGAGCCCCTGCTGTCTGTTATCAGGGCAGCTTGTGATTATAATTCCCACCTTCAAACAAAATCAGCCTGAATTCTACTGACTGGAAGGTGAATGCTGCTTTTGAATGGTGCTGTCCCTGCCACGGCAAGGTTCTGTAGGTGCTGTAACTCGAAAATGACTAATCACTAGATGCGGGTGTCCCTCCCCACCCCATTCCCGCCCTGGGCCTGCTAGGGACAGGCCGGCCACTTCCTTTCAGACTTGCAGCATGGGGTGGTGGGGTGCTGGGGGGCTCTTTCCCGACCCTACCCACATGTTACCTTGGAAGCCGCTTTCTCCATCAGCTCCAAGGCCAGCCGCCTGTTCCTTTTCACTCCTTGACCCTAGACATTGATAAACAGCAAAGATTAGCACAGACATAAACTCCGAGCGTGTGAAAAACCTCACACAGATACATTCGTATTGGCTATAAAATCCTTACGAGAAAAACCCTCTGACTTTCTTCATTGAAACCCAAGGTTTAAGATTTCTATATGCGGCACTATGCCCTGCCTTTCTTCTCATTTGGGGAACAGAGGCAACAACCCTAACTTCTAGTTTAGCAGCAACCCCAAGTTTTCCATTTTTATCGCCCCGGGAATGGCATTCTTGTCAACCCACAGGTATCGTTGGGAATTGAGCTCAATGCGTTTGGTCAGCCTGGATGCTTTTCTCTGGAGATTATCTACTTTGTGGCCAAATAAAGCGCGTTATCTGTGTTGGACAGTCAGCGGTATTAGGCTGTGACTCGCAGCCTTCCTCAGTGCTGGCTGGGTCCCCCAGGGTGGAACACCATGGCTTCTCAACCAGGAGGAACCTGTGACCTAGCAGAGAGGACCCTGCGGAAACTGCTGCTTCAGACCCAACTGGCAGAAACAAACCAGATTCCTTTTTTCTTTTGAGAGAGATCTTTTGCCATAGGGTGCATGTGCTTGCCAGAGAGATAAAGGGAAAAAGCGAGAAACCAGCCCCCGGGAGAACGACCACGCCGCAATCCCTTCTCCTTCATTCTCCTCTCAGGATTTTGGGCACACATGCACAGGCGCCTGGCATGAGTTTCAAGTCTGTGGTTCAGGCCTTGAACCACAATCGACCATGTGGGAGTCCAGCAACATAACCAGTGTGCCTCTGCTTGGCCCCTAATGAGGTTCTTCCAGAGAAATCAAGAACCCCCTGAAGAGGAAGTTTATCCACCATGCGGAGAAATGGGCTTTGGGGCAAGCTCTAACAGGACTTTCTTGCTACACGAGGAAGTCCGTGGACCTTGCCACAGCATCTGCAGGACCGAATAGAAAGTGGGTCCCAGGGTGAGGCTGCGGGGCTCCCAGGGCAAGGCCGCAGGGGCCCCTGAGTTCTCTCTTGACATAGGTCTGGCAGAGAAGACGCCAGACAAGGGGAGCTAGCAGGACAACACGGCTGCTTACGATCATCCATTGTCTGTTCACTGCTGCAGTCGGCAGCGTTCTTGGTTTTACTATTACTGCGTGGTAAAATGCGTGTGTGTGCACAGGACATCAGAGAGGCCATGGCAGGATGTATTAGGAGAAAAGTATGCAGGATTGACACTTTTTGGCACCAAAATAAACTGGTAATTTAATTCCATAATTTCACCAACATTTGGAAGTCCCCTCACATATACACACACACTCAGAAGTATGTAAATATATGCATCTCCACATACATGCACGTATACACACACACACATACATATATACATATAGATATATACACACACACACACGTAGTACGTGTAACCGCCCTGCACTCAGACACCACGGCCGGCAGGATCACACACACTGTGACAGTGAGAGGGCTTTGCAGTAAACACACCTTCAACTCTTGAAATGCTTCGGTCCATCACAAACGGAGACTAGCAAATATTCCCCTGCTAATTAAGGTGCCAGGCGTTGTCCTACCATAATTTTCACGGTGACCCATCAGAGAACCTGCCCAGAGCCAATGCATGAGAACCAGAGGCACGATCTTAACTCAGCAGGCAGACTCCGGAGCCAGGCTGGCAACCACTGTGCTCTGTTTTCCTTGGACATTTCGGTTCAGGGCTGAGAAGTCATCTCTCCCTAATCTCAGTGCGGGGTGCGGGGCGTGGGACACGTACTGATACGCTCGACTGTCGTTTTCGGAACCCAGAGTGAAACTGTGAATCTTCAGCTAAAGGGTGGATCTCAGGTGCTCCTTGACTTACGAGGGGGATTACGTCCCAATAAACCCACCGGAAGTTGAAGATGTTTTAAGTCAAGAATGCATTTGATATGCCTAACCTACCCAACACTGTAGCTGAGGCTGCCTACCTTGTGTGCTCTGAGTTCAGATTAGCCCACAGTTGGGCCAAGTCCCCTAACCCGAAGCCTACTTTATGGAGTGATGACTGCTTTAGGCAATTTATTAATCCCGAATTGAAAGCAAAAAAGAGAATGGTTGCATGCGTACGTGACGTTTGGTTTCTGCTGAATGTGTATCGCGTTCACACGGGAGTAAAGCCGGAAATTCTAAGTCAGACTGTAAGTCGGAGACTGTCTACATATACACCAGTTTCTGCTAGACTGTAACTTGCCCGTTTAACAAAACCAGTGAGCTGAAGCAAAGTGGAAGGTGAAAATATTTTTCGGATGTGCACCATTACTTCATTTAATTAGAGAGGGAGAGGAGAGAGAAGAGGAGGCAGGACCTTACTTGAAATAACTGAATAGAGAACCAGACAATGGTTTTCGACTTCTGGGAAAGCGTCAGAAAGGCCAGACTCCCAGAATGGCAGGACCTTGGGAATTCATAGTTTTTCTTACCCAACCTTTCTGTTCTGAAGGAATAAAACTGGGACCCAGAGAGGCTGACTTATCCGAAGCCTCGCAGTTAGAGCTGCAAGTACTCATTAGATGTCTAGGGCAGAGATGTTTCTAGTCTGTTGCTAGTTAATCAAAAAGAGAATAACTTCTTGCACAAAGACTATGCACTACAGGGGCCAGCATGGTGGTTAAGGCGTTGGACTCCCACATAATTTTTAAGCCTGGAGGCTTAAAAATCATGTTAGGCATGTGTGTGTGCATAGCTAAAATCCTGAGAGGCGAACAGAGGAGAAAGGATTGCAGCATGGCCACCTCCCCTGGAGGATAATATTTCTCTGTCTCTCTCTCCTGCGAATACATGTATCCTATGGCAAAAGTCTAAAAAGACCAAAACCAAAACCACAAAGACTCTGCACTATCTGCCTATCTGGGTAATTCTGAAAGTTGACTGAGAGAAGGGAGAGGTCCTGGCACACAGGTAAGTACTCAGAAAGTATCCAGAGTGAAATGAAGGGAAGACTGTTCGCCAACATCAGAGCTTCATCCTCATGTGGACACAAGATGGGAGGAACTTGATTGTCCTGGACAAACCACAGCCACCCTCCTGGTGCCACCTCATGCAGCCGGAAGCAAGCTACCACACTGCACATCTGGAAAGCCCAACTTCCACCTGGGTTTCCTGCACACGCGTACACTTGAAGAGACTTCCTAGCCAGAAGCGAAGGCCTCTCCTGAGATTCTGATAAAGGGTTTCCTTCCTTCGACCCAGAGACTTAGGTAGAATTCAGGAAAACTAAATAAAAGAAGCTTTCAGTTTAGAAAACCAGACCCCCAAGAAATCTTGTCACTTTCAGAGTCACCGACTGACATCTCTTCCTCTCCCTAGACTGAGAGTTAATAATGTCTAATGCATGCCATTATCTTCTCCTCAGTTTGGATGACGACCAGGCTCTACCCCCGTGGACAGGCACCACCCCCTGTCCTCTGCCTTCCCCTCCAGTGTACGAGTCCCAGGGACAGAATGTCACTCCTACCCCCAGATGCCCCTGCTCCATCTAGCAAAGCTTGGCACGGTGTCAGCCCCAAATGGATGTTTATTGAATCAATACATGAATGCTCTGGCACATGGCTAAGATTCAAACAATTTCTATGTTGACTTAATAACTAGAAAGAGAAGGTCCAAGCTCTCTGTTTGGAAACCATAACAACCAATGGGTTTTCAGGCTTTGATAAGGTTTAGAGGGTTAGAAATGTAGCCGAAGTCACGGCTGTTAATCAGAGAGTGGTCACAGCTGTGGTTCTGGAGACGGGACTGGCCGTGTGAATTCATGTCCCTGTTTGAAGACACTTGCTATTTGGAGGCAGCTGTTTTCTTTGGGCAAAAATTTAGGGCCCAAAAATGTCCTTCCCAGAGCCAAAGCCTGTTACTTTTCTAAGATCAGTGAATCTATGCCTCTGTGTCCGGGGGTGACAAGGACAGACAATGAGGCCAGACTGTCCAGATATCAGGGCCAGGTCTGAAATGTCCCAGCTGGGCAGGGTACAAAACCTTTCTGTGCCTCTGCTTATATATATATTTAGTTGTCAGAAAAGTCATGACACATTTTTGCATAGAGAAACATAGAAAAGGGGTCCAGCAGGTGACATGGTGGTTAAGGCACTGAACTCCCACATGGTCGATCGCAGTTTGAGTCCCTGATCCAGCGACTTGAAACTCACACCAAGTATGTGTGTGTGCATGCCTAAAATCCCAAGAGGACAATGGAGGAGAAGGGATTACGATGTGGCCATCTCCCTGTGGGGCGGGGTGGGTGTGAGTTCTCACTTTCTGTCTCTCTGTCTCTCCAGTGAGTGCATGCACCCTATAGCAAAAATCTCTCAAAAAAGAAAAAGAAAGAGAAAAACAGAAAAAATACATCCTGACTTTTCTGACAACCCAATATATATAGCAATCATAACACATGAAGGTCCCTACCTCATATGCTGGTTGTGAGGATGAAATATGCAAATACACAGGAAGCAGGTGACATTCAGCCAATCAGTGTGAACTAATACTATTTTGTACAGGACACACGGTGTTTTACAGTTTGCAAACCCCATTGGCTCTGCTCTCTCATTCAGTCTGCAGTCATTACCATTATCCCACGAGATCTGGAGACGCCAAGGATGTTTGTGATGGTTGCAGAGGTGGGACTTTAACAAGCCTCTTCCCAACCCTTTCCACTACTTTCCTGTTGGCTTAAAACCAAGATCTTTGTTTTCATCAGCAGGACCGTTGGGATCCAGCCCAAACACATACTTAGTCGAAGCTGTAATTCAATAAGAACTCTGCCTCGTGGCAAGCCTGGAGCATCTTTGGGGGCTGGTGGTCTTGCATAATCCATAAAATACAGGCCTCTCCCTCAGAGGCCATGGTTCTTGCAAGGGCAGGGAATCCAGATGCCAAAAGTAAGATTAATGTTTGATAACGAGACCAGGGAGCTGCTTTGACTCTGCCTTTTTAGCCAGTATTCTTTCCAATCCAGTCTTACAGAAGCATACACTAAGTTTCTTCAATTACAGATGCCTTGTTTACCTGCACGCCCACAGGAAACTGCTCAGGAAGTCTGATAAGAAGTGCACAATTTCAGCCCAAATGAAGTGATTCTTACCTTGAATAGCACAATGGCATAGTCGTATATTAGCGCGGGATCCTCGGTCTCCAGGGCTCCCTTGGCGTACCACTCGATGGCAGCTTCGGGATTCTTCGCCACACCTTGCTGCCCCCAGAACAGCATCTGGGCCAATCGTTGCTTAAAGACAATAGCGATTTAGAACGATGACTTTCCTGTGTGATGCTTAATACAAGACTTGGAGAGGTGGGAGGATAAACCTAGATTAAAATGTTTTCTGTTGAGAATCCAGCATTAGCTAGACACATTTTATCTTCCAACCGAGTGCCAGAGCCCTGAAGGTGGATTTGTGCAAATACGAGCTCTTAACACATGCAGGAAATGGTGCACGTGTGTGTGTGTGTGTGTGTGAGTGTGAGTGTGTGTGTGTGTGTGTGTGAGTGTGAGTGTGTGTGTGTGTGTGTGTGAGTGTGAGTGTGTGTGTGTGTGTGTGTGAGTGTGAGTGTGTGTGTGTGTGTGTGTGAGTGTGAGTGTGTGTGTGTGTGTGTGTGAGTGTGAGTGTGTGTGTGTGTGTGTGTGAGTGTGAGTGTGTGTGTGTGTGTGTGTGAGTGTGAGTGTGTGTGTGTGTGTGTGTGAGTGTGAGTGTGTGTGTGTGTGTGTGTGAGTGTGAGTGTGTGTGTGTGTGTGTGTGAGTGTGAGTGTGTGTGTGTGTGTGTGTGAGTGTGAGTGTGTGTGTGTGTGTGTGTGAGTGTGAGTGTGTGTGTGTGTGTGTGTGAGTGTGAGTGTGTGTGTGTGTGTGTGTGAGTGTGAGTGTGTGTGTGTGTGTGTGTGAGTGTGAGTGTGTGTGTGTGTGTGTGTGAGTGTGTGTGTGTGTGTGTGTTTGCTGCACCCAGACCCGGAGCTGGATGGAATGCAGAACTTGGTCAGCAATCACAACTCTCCTTCCTCAAACGCCCACTCCTTTGGGAGGCATTGCAAGTCTTTTTGGCTCAGACATCACATCACTTAGGCTCCTAACTCTCTATTGCATTTATTCCTCTCACATGATTTGTCTCCACAGCTAGTCTTGAGCTCTTGGGAGGTCAGAACTTTAAGGAGTTATTTGTCTATGCCCCCATACACTCGGCCTCCGCCCACAGAGCTAAAGATGCTCCTAGAAGCTATTCAAATGAGCACTTGCTAATGAAGGAAGGAAGACCAGCACCATCATTAGGAAAGTTAATGCCAGCTCTGAGACCCTGGAAGCAGCTCGAGCAATGTCAATTGTAGAACTACAGGAATTCCTTCCTGGACTGAAGACAGCAGGCTGGGGACAGATGGCCAAGAAAAGAACCAGGTCAATGATGGCTAACATTCTGGCCCCCGGTGGATCACTTTCTGTCTCTCTTATCTCCCTCTCGTCCCTTCCCTAGCAAATCCTTACAACTTGTGGCAAGGCATCTCCTGCAACGCCAGGAAGGTCTCTGCGGAAGGGTAGGAGAGGTGTTACGAAAACCCCTGAACTGTTTGCTTTGCCCATGCCTTTGAGTCTTTTCTTTTTTCTTTTCCTTTCCTATCTCTGGTCTTCCACCTACTTCCAGCCTAGGGGCCCCTCCTGACACAGCTGTGCTCAGCGGGAGCACTTCGGCCATAGCTAAATCCACCCTTAGGGAAGGAGGCTTCCTCCTGGTGTAAACGGTCTTCACAGGCTCCCATCAAGGGCTTTCTCCACAGTGAAGTCAAAGCAAGGAATGAGATAGAGGAAGTTCCCCAGCCTTTGCCCTTTCCTGGACCTCTTACAAGTCCATTGAAAAGACAAGGATGTTCAAGAAACCAAAAGACTCATCCTTTTGTTCTCACACACCATAAATAATGTTCTACTGTCCTCCTAGCTGAACTCATGGCCCCTTTCTCTATGCCCACCTAACTTCTCCTGTACCCCACGATGTTTCTCCTTTTTCTTTTTCCCCCCTTTTGTAGGTTTTGCTATAGGATGTGTGCACTTGCCAGAGACAGAGACAGAGAGAGGGAAAGTGAGAAATCACCACCCAGGGGAGATGGCCACACTGCAATCTCTTCTCCATTCTCCTCTCAGGATTTCAGGCACATACTCACACACGTCCAGTGTGATTTTCAAGCTGCTGGTCTCGAACTTAAAATGTGGTTGGCCATGTGGGAGTCCAGCGCCTCAACCGCAACACCATCTGCTGGCTCTGCTTCTTGTCTTTCTGTCTGGTGTGTGCACCAAAGTATCTGATGGTAGTCTGTAGGTGTGCTCAAAAATAGGCAGACTCTCTCTTCTGGGTGGTGGTAGAACTATATCATGGTCCTCTTAAAGTCTACAGGGGCCACGTGATGTGCTTTGGCCAATGAAATATTAGAGGCAATTTCTGAGCAGAAGCATTAAGAATGCCCTTGACTGTGGCACTGCCAGGATAGTTCTGGAAGCACTAGCAGCTGTCAGCTTGGATTCCTGAATCTGAGAGCAGAGGCCCCTGCCAACCCCACTGGATGTATTTATTGCATCATCAGGAAAGTCATGATGCATTTTTGCACAGAAGTATACATCATGACTTTTCAGACAACCTAATATAATGTGAGAATAAACAAATCAGTATTGTTTAAAGTCACTAGGTTTGGGATGTTTTGTTCACAGCATGAGCGGGTCTCTCATGGCTGACAGAATCTCCAAGGCAATAGGTGACTTTTTTTTTTTTTTTTTTGCTAGAGGGTGCATGCACTTACCAGAGAGAGACAGAAAGAGAAAGGGAGAGGAAGCTCCTTGCATAGTGGATGGTCGTGCTGCAATCCCTTCTCCCTTCTCCTTTCAGGATTTTGGGCACGCATGTACACGTGCATGGCATGTCTCTCAAGCTTCTGGATCTGGGATTTGAACTGGGCAGTCGATCAAGTGAGATCCAGCTGCCTTAACCTCCATACCACGGCCTGGCTTGAATGGACTGCGTTTTTACCTGCGCTGCTGCATTGCCTCGGGTAGCTTCATGTTTCAGCCACATGAAGACATCTCCATCTTCTTTGGTCTGAACCTTGAGAATTTCATCATCTTTCAATCTAATTGCTTCGACATAAGCCTAAAAACAGACAGAAGGAAAAGATGGAGAGAGGGAATAGTCAAATGATATGGGCACACAAAAGACTGGGTGTTCTTTTTTTAAGATTGATTCAAGTCCAGTGATTATTATTATTATTATTATATTATTTAATTTGACCAGAGAAAGAAAGGGACAGAGAGAAAGCAAGCTGCCAGGTCAGGGACTAGAACCACAGTCGGCCATGTGGGAGTCCAGTGCCTTAACCACCTGCTGGCCACCATTGGCATTCTTAAGTCAGCAATTGTTCCAACCAAACCTCTATGAATCATTGCCATATGAAATGCGCCTGCAATGCTAGGAGATCCAGTTCTTTTTAAACGCATGTACTGCACCCCACATAGCGAAATGGTATTTGTTCCTATCAAACCGTGGGCCTTGGGAGGCCAGAATGTGTCCCCCTGCACCTCTGTGTCCTGGCTGTTCAGAGGTCCACTCCGTGCTCCTAATTTCAGAGCGGCATAGCACACACAGGGCATCAAAAGGTAAGTCAGTATTTTCTGGGTATCACCTTACGTTTCATTCCCAAGTATTACTATCCTGCATGACTAACCCTTTTATTTCACAGACGCAGCTTCAAATATCTTTTGGCTATTTCCAAAAATTAAATCTACTCTGAAAAGAAGAGGGCCTGTCAACTCTGGGGTATGAGAACGAACATGCCAGAGGCTCCAGAGATGAACCCGAAGGGAAAGTTCACAAAATGTTTGCAATTTGCACACGGCCTCCAGATATCTGACTCCTTTGAAGAAAATCAGATTCATTTTTGATGTAGAAATTTGGGTTGTTTATTAACAATCTGGTCCCGTTGTTTCACGGGCTCCCTCCTGCATTACGAAGTCGACCCAACGGTGCCATGAGGGCCTATCAGAGAGTTTTCCACACGCAGCGCATGCCACAGGCAGATGGCAGAAAAATTGGATCTGAGCTGGTTTGGGAAAGGAGCCTCTGAGAGCAAGAAGCCAGGCCTGATTTCCCTTCTGACCCTCTTTGTTCGTCAGCGTTGGGGCTCAGAAAATGATTCCCCAAAGCATGGCACTTGGGCACGCTGAGCGCTTTGAACCGAAGGAGAAGCAGGGTCTCTGACCTTCTCGCATCTCCTTCCTTTTCTTCCTCTTTCAGCTCATTAAATGCAGAGCGAGGCTTGCTCTGAATTGCCTTTATCTGCCTGCAGACCGAATCCTCTAGAAAGAGTTTGAATTCCTAGACCCCTTCCCTAGGAATTACATCACGGACTCCCGGCACAGGAAGGGAGTCTGAAGGTTGACACCTGCCCAGGTGGGCTCTGAGCCAGCTCTCACCTGCTCTTCAGGCCCATTCCTTCTCTCCCCCAGATGGCTCCTCGCCCCCACCCCGTCCCTCTCCCCTGTGAAGAGAGAATATAAACTCGGAAATTTCACTGGGTTTTTGGGTACTCACTCTCTTTCTTATGATGACCTGTGCACGCAATAAAATGCTAAGTGTCCTGTTAATCTGTCTACCGTCTGTTCACGTAGACTCAAATGATGGAACTTAGAGAGTGAAGGGAAAAGCCCTGTACTCCTACATTAGTCAAGGAAAGTACTCAGGGCCAGCAGGTGGTGTCAAGGTTAAGGAACAGGATTCCACATGGTGTACTTTATAGTTCAAGTCTCGGGCCTGGCAACTTGAGAATCACACCAGGCACATGTGCATGCATGCCCCAAATCCTGAGAGGAGAGTGGAAGAGAAGGGACTGCAGCATGGCCCTCTCCCCCAGGGGGAGATTTCTCACTCCCATCCCTCCCTCCTCCGCAGTCTCTGGTGAGCACATGCAAATTAAAAGAATAAAGAAAAGTACTCAGAATCAGCACTTCGTCTGAAGCCCCATTCCTTAGAGTGTCTCTCAGCTGCCTCCTCTATTGGGGTACGTGGGGCCAGGGGTACCTTTCAGAGGCACTAGGGGGCTGAGACTTGGGGGGTATGTGAGGGTTGGAACCCCTTTGGTATTCATCCCCGTGGATGTCTAAGCTTGGGAGGCCGCCAAGCTAGCAGCAACAAGTAGGATGACAAGGCTGCTACCTTGTATTGAACCCAGCTGCACTGCACGCTGGGAGTTTAACAAATGGTTTTAATTTAATCTGCAAAATAAAGCTGAGACCTGGGTATCGTAAACCCCCCCACTCCAATTTATAGGCACAGAAACTGAGGTTCAGAAAGTGAAACCATGAACTCAAGGTCTCATGGAACTACCTGGTCCTGGAAGCCAGGCTGGCTTGAGTCTCAAGACCCTTCTGTGCTCCCACTGGATACCACCCCTTAGTGAGAAGCCCCTGGGCACAAGCCACTCTATCCAACTTACTCTTTGCCAAGTGCATGGCCAAGCGTACGGAGGTGCCCAAGAACAGGGGTGCCTGGGAACATCGCTTCTCAAACTCCAGGGGACACCCTGTCTCTCGTGATAAGCCCGGAACGGGGCTGGAGCTCCAGCTCCCGGAAAAAGGAGTCAGCTGGAGGTTTTTATTCACCTGGAGAGTTTTGAGTCTTTGGATTTAAGTTGTTTTTCTTCTTCTTTTTATTTCGTTTCTTCCTGCTTCTCCTTGTCGTGGGACTTGAATAGAAGACCTAACACACGAAGACCCAGCTCTTACCCTGCAGGGATTTGTAGCTTAAGTCTTCCTGCCCTGCTGGCCCTGATAATGGCTCATAATAACCTTCCGGTATGGTGTGCCAGGCTCCGTTCTGATGGCTTTACCCGGATTGACTCGTCTGATCTTCCCGACCTGGTAAGGCAGTATTCCCCACTTCACGGATGCGGAAACTGAGGCCAAGAGTAACCTGTCCGAGGCCGTGTATTTCCTGGGTTGTCGGGAAAGTCAAGAGACATTTTTGCATAGAAAAGCAGAAAAATATGTCATGACTTATGACCCAATAGGTTTTTGCGATAAGGAGTGAAATTTAAGCTGGCTGGTTGTGGGCCCCACATGCCTCACCTCACCTTCCTACCCTGAGCAGGACTTGTGTACCTGGGAGGAAGCAAATGGGGACTCTGTTATTGTCTCCCCACACAATCAACTCCAGCTGACAGTGCCAAGGGAGGTGGTGTTGGCAGAGACCACATTTTTAGGGGACTGTGCGTAACTGTACAGAACGAACACGGTTGTCTTCCTTGTCCTTATTTCTGACACAGGAAGTTGTCCCTAGTGACCCTCCCCAACTCCTCGGATGTGACAGGGAGCTGTCCAGCAGTCAAGAGACATTTTTGCATAGAAAAGCAGAAAAATATGTCATGACTTTTCTGATGACCCAATAGGTTTTTGCGATAAGGAGTGAAATTTAAGCTGGCTGGTTGTGGGCCCCACATGCCTCACCTAGCCTTCCTACCCTGAGCAGGACTTGTGTACCTGGGAGGAAGCAAATGGGGACTCTGTTATTGTCTCCCCACACAATCAACTCCAGCTGACAGTGCCAAGGGAGGTGGTGTTGGCAGAGACCACATTTTTAGGGGACTGTGCGTAACTGTACAGAACGAACACGGTTGTCTTCCTTGTCCTTATTTCTGACACAGGAAGTTGTCCCTAGTGACCCTCCCCAACTCCTCGGATGTGACAGGGAGCTGTCCAGCAGGTGGGGCCCTTAGGAGTACAGCCTTTCATCTGTGACTGAGCGGGCTTCAGTACGGACTCACTGCTAACTCCTCGCGGGCTCTAGCGAGTTATTTTATTTATCCGAGACTCAGTTTCTGTAACCATAAAATGGAACTCACTTAAATCTTTAAAAACATGTTTTTGGGACCAGCAGTTAGCATAATGGCTATGTCGCTGAGCTCCCACGTAGTCGACCGCGGTTCGAGTCCCGGACCCAGTGGCTTAAACTCACGCCGGGCGCGTGTGCGTGCGTGCCCACGATCCTGAGAGGAGAGTGGAGGAGAAGGGATTGCAGCATGGCCATACACCCTGGGGGGGGGTGATTTCTCGCTTTCTATCTCTCTGTCTCTGTCTGGCGAGCGTATGCGCCCTACAGCAAAAACTTCTCAAAAAAAAAAGTTTTTGTAATTATTTCTCCAGAGGAGGAGGAGGAGAAGGAGAAAAAGACAGAGACATCCCCAACAGGGCTGCACACTGCAGTCTACCCCCAGCCTCAGCCAGTCAGGATCCCAGGCAGGTGATCACATAGCCAGCAGGAACAGGGAGACCTCGGGATGCAAACCCAGGCCCTTCCAAAGTGATGGCAGTGTCGTGGGGCAGCGCATCACTGCCGTGGCACCATGGCTGGCCCATAAATGGACCTGACCATGGCAACTGCTATATCAAAATTTGAGCACACAGCCTACTGGCCGTTGTTCTTAGAGCCCGAACAGTTACAAAGACCCAGGTTCAAACCTAAGCTCCACTACTACTTGCTGCGTGCCTGTGCACAAGTTCTTTAGTGTCTCTGCGTCTCCTCTGTAAAATGGCGATAATATTTGTTCTCGTCTCTGCGTCTCAGTTGCCTCCTCTGTAAAATGGCGATAATATTTGTTCTGACCTCACAGGGCTGCATGAAGGCTAGCAGAGATTAAAAAGCTTAGCACAGGGAACCAACAGTTAGCGTAATGGCTATGTCGTTGGACTCCCACGTAGTCAACCGCGGTTCATGTCCTGGACCCGGTGGCTTAAAACTCACGCCGGGCACGTGTGCGTGCGTGCCCAAGATCCCGAGAGGAGAATGGAGGAGAAGGGATTGCGGCGTGATCATCCCCTCTGGGGGGTGATTTCTCGCTTTCTGTCTCTCTGTCTCTCTCTGTCTGGCGAGCACACGCGCCCTATAGTGAAAACCTCTCCAAAAAAAAAAAAAAAGCTTAGCACAATGCCCGGCACGAGGCGTTCTCTCAGCACAGCGGTGCCCCCGTGTTCAAGGCAGGTATGTTCCAAGACCCCCAGTGGATGCCTGAAACCACAGAGAAGACCAAACCCACACATGTGTTTTCCTGCACATGCAATACATATAATAAAGTTTAATTTAGAAATCAGGCACAGCAAGAG